ATAACATGCATCTCCAGCTGGTGGGTGAATTTTTTAGACTGTTTTGCTTTAAATTGACTCGTGGAACATATCATTCCGGTGCAATCGTATTGGGAGAAACTAAAACAAAACAAAACAAAAATCAATCATATAGGGAAATACTAAGAGAATTGTATGAAAGTCCAATTGGGGTAATGTAATCACACACAAAAAAAAAAAAAAAAAAAGCTTCCAAAATACAGACAAGTGGTGTGGTGAATGTGGTGACGTCAGCAGATTCGGCATCGACGGCCTCAAATGATGAGAAGAGGAGACACATAGGACCCTTACGTCAATCACACTTTGATTCCATCCTTGGCAAAAATATATATAGGGGATGGGGTCAAAACTATTAAACATTTAATCAAATTCATAATCATCATAATAACACTCTTTTAAAAAATATATAATTTGGTAGCACTAATATATATTATATATTCTCCCACCATTACTCCTCCATTCACTCTTGTCTTAAACTCCCCCTCTCGAGTGCTTTATGGTACGAAGGATCCATCTCTATGTTTCAACGCATATATCACACATCGTTTCATACATGATACTAAAATAGTTCGACTGGCTCATGTAGTTACGTAATCCAACGAAAGACCTTCGTTCTTCTTTAGCAAGAAACACTACACATACGTATTTTGTTATTTGGTCATTGTCTCGTAGACTGATCGCACCAAATTGGTTTTGCGTGTACCCAATAAATACGACTTAACATAAAAAAAACATTGGAGAAAAACTGTTTAGCTCTTGCCATCTTAGTGATGTTGTTTTGTTTATAAGATACTAATCATAACATACATAATTTACAGTATTTTGTATATTAAAAAAATATAGTTATAAGTTTGCGCCTTCCACTATACTATGTTTTGAATCTTTTACCATTTTTTCATCTTGCAAACTCCTATGTAGAATACGCTTAACGGTTTACAACTACCAAACTCCACATGTTCATCAAGTATCTAACCAGCTAATATCGTAGTGTTTTAAAATTAAAACATGTAAATTGATATCATTGCGTATTATATAAATTATAAAATATGGGCGCCCTATGGTTTGACATGGTTTATTGAAGATCATTGTTCCGAAGACTTGTCTCCAAATGTTCTCCAAACTGAAGACATATGAATGAGGGTTTTATGATTTTATCGTTGAAACCCGAAAACATAATGAGTTTCCTTTTTAATTTAATATTGTATCAGTCTCAACTCTCAAAAAGTATTTTATTATAATCGAAGTGGGTCGATTTGAAGCTTCATTAATTAAAACAAAAATATTAGCTGATTTAACCAATGAGACTAATGCATAAAATAAATCGATATGTTAGTGGAGATTTTATACAAGGATTAATTATTAGTTTGTCAAAAAAAAAGGAACTCTTATTAGTTTTTAAATTGATTACAACATAATTATCCATATCGATCATTAGGATCAACTTGTGAAGTGTCGGTGATCACTCCTCAGTTCTTCTTTGTCTGCTTCAGGCTTCTATCTTGATCTACACGTATTTCTTGTAACCAACAAATCAATATTATGACTTAAATATTAACAATAATTTTGTTAGTTTCATGAGCAACAGCTAAAAATATTTTAATTAATGGATCGGTACATGTGTCGTGTGACGCAATAATATTCACTTCCAAGTTCTAATCACACTAAGTTAAATTTATATTAAACAACATAAAGCAATGGTTTAGTATTATGTCTGCCATTTTCGATTTTTTTTCTTCATGTCCAAATTTGCTCATGTCTTCCACAAAAATCACTCACCTTTTTTACCCCACCATAGTTCCTAAACATGCACACAGCCACGTATCAAATATGTAATTTGTTGCCTTGTTGGGTATAAAATCTACATATATAACATATGCTTTGCGTGTATGAAATAAAACTATATACTATAATCTCCATATTACATTAAAAAAAAAAATGTTGATCAAAATGTCTCTCCCTATCCCGCCGAAATTTCTTCCGACGCTAAATCCTCCATCGATTCATCATCACCAAGCTGCTCCGCCACCGCTTGCCCCGCCACGAGCAGCTATATCAATATCTATACCAGAAACCGGTTTAGGACGTACTGGAACCGTCCTCGACGAGTCAACATCCTCAGCTTTCCGTGACTACCAATCTCTATTCGTGTCACAGCGTTCGGAGACAGTAGAACCGGTCGTAATCAAAACAGTCGAAGGTTCAATACCAGTTGATTTCCCTTCCGGTACATATTACTTAGCCGGTCCAGGACTGTTCACTGATGACCATGGCTCAACGGTTCATCCTTTAGACGGTCATGGTTACCTACGTGCGTTTCACATAGACGGAAACAAACGGAAAGCAACTTTCACGGCGAAGTACGTTCAAACGGAAGCTAAAGAAGAAGAGCACGATCCAGTGACTGACACGTGGCGTTTCACTCACAGAGGTCCTTTCTCGGTGCTAAAAGGTGGGAAGAGGTTTGGGAACACGAAAGTGATGAAAAACGTGGCTAATACTAGCGTTTTGAAATGGGCTGGGCGGTTGCTTTGTTTATGGGAAGGTGGTGAGCCGTACGAAATTGAATCTGGATCGTTGGATACCGTCGGGAGATTTGACGTAGAGATCAACGGTTGTTGTGATGATGATGATTCTTCCGACAGAGATTTTGCTGGTCAAGATATATGGGACACAGCCGCAGATTTGTTGAAACCCATACTTCAAGGTAATGTTTTTATGTTACTAATAAAGTAAAGTTTAGTTAAATTAAAAGCATGTAGTCCATTATTCAGACAGCGGCGTAAAATTAATTAATGTTGATGCTAAGTGCAAACTATATAGTTAAACTTTTTTATTTATTTTTATGTATAGGTGTATTTAAGATGCCACCGAAACGGTTTCTGTCACATTACAAAGTCGACGGTCGAAGAGATAGACTTTTAACAGTCACTTGCAACGCTGAAGATATGCTTTTACCTAGAAGCAACTTCACATTTTGTGGTAAAAAATCTTTTGATTTTGCTTAAAAAAATATGAAAATAAAGTTCTACTACGTATTGTTAAAATGGGAATTTTTTTTTTTTTTACAGAGTATGATTCTGAATTCAAGTTGATGCAAACGAGAGAATTCAAGATCGATGATCACATGATGATTCATGATTGGGCCTTCACGGACACTCACTACATACTCTTTGCCAACCGAGTCAAGCTTGATCCAATTGGTAATATAAGCTAATTACTCGCTTCTGTTACAAAATCATTTACAAGAAGAGTAATAGTTGAGTTGGAAGAAATCTGATTATGTGAATATATATGTTGTCAGGTTCCATGGCGGCGATGTGTGGAGTGTCACCGATGGTATCAGCGTTATCGTTGAATCCAAGCAACGAGAGTTCCCCGATTTATATCTTACCAAGATTTTCAGAGAAATCTATGGGAGATCGAGACTGGAGAGTTCCTGTCGAGGTGTCTTCTCAGTTATGGCTAATTCACTCCGGAAACGCTTATGAGACTAGAGAGGATAATGGTGATTTAAAGATTCAGATACAAGCTTCCGCTTGCTCTTACCGCTGGTTCGATTTCCAAAAAATGTTTGGTACGTTAGTAAGTTACACCATACTGGAAGCGAAATAACCTCTTTCACAAGTTAGGGTTTTTTAGGTGATGACAGCTTTTGAACATTTTCTTTCTAAATAAATTCTTACAGGCTACGATTGGCAAAGTAACAAGCTAGATCCTTCTGTTATGAATCTAAATCGCGGCGACGACAAACTACTCCCTCATCTAGTTAAGGTGTCTATGACCTTGGACCCTGTCGGAAAGTGCAAAAGTTGTGATGTAGAGCCTTTGAACGGCTGGAACAAGCCGTCAGATTTTCCGGTTATAAACTCATCCTGGTCCGGAAAAAAGAACAAATACATGTACTCTGCAGCCTCGTCAGGAACTCGAGGCGAACTTCCCCATTTCCCATTTGACATGGTCGTGAAGTTTGACTTAGACTCCAACCTCGTACGTACGTGGTCCACCGGAGCTAGAAGATTCGTTGGTGAGCCCATGTTTGTCCCAAGAAACTCCGATGATGAAGGAGAAGAAGAGGAAAATGGCTACATTATCGTCGTCGAGGTACGTGCATAAAGTACTTCTGCTTATCTCTTAAATTATTTTTGATACAACTAGTCATTTACTTCTTTTTTTTTTTATATATATAGTATGCGGTATCGGTGGAGAGATGTTACCTTGTGATCTTGGACGCAAAGAAGATTGGTGAATCCGATGCGGTCGTGTCGAGATTAGAGGTTCCGAGGAATTTGACGTTTCCAATGGGGTTCCACGGTTTATGGGCTAGCGACTGAAGCTTTGTGGATAATGATTTTATTTGAATTTACTTGTAAATTTATATCAGCAATTTTATGATTTTTTTTTGTCTGTTAGACCTTAAACTTTGTAAAAAAGGGGTGTTGATTTTGTTGATAGAAGAAGCCATAGTTAGGTATAGTGTAAACATAGTAATTAACTAAAGATAAGTCTATTGTAAATATTATAAACATAGTATATATTGCAAAAAATTATTAAATTATGTATGTTGTATTATTTTTGCTTCAGTGTAAATTGTTGTACTGGCTTTGACATTTTGGAATTTATTAAAATAATATATGTAACTATTTATGCTCCTATCAAAACAGATTCATATTTATTAAGTTTGGGTCTTTTGACCAAAGGAATTTAAGTATTTTTGACAAAAAAAAAATATGTGTAACTTTAAGAAATAAAAGGGAATACTGTTTGTCCAAAAAAAAAAGAACATGTGCTTAAGTGGACCTTAAAGAAAAAGAGAGGCTTTGTTGTCTATTGTTACTGGGCTGGGCCGAGAATAAAATACATACTTGTTTCTCTGTTTGTTCCATATCGTTTGACCATAATCCCGGTAGCGTTGACTCGACGCTCACACTTACTAACCAGAAAGCCTCTCTGTTCGAAAGAGGGTTTCTGCAAAACCCCTTAAATTCTTTTTGTTCAAAACGCCGGCGAAGAAGTGAGCGAACCACTGAACGAGAGAAGACAGAAGAGAGAATCAGTAACCGCAATGTCGGGGTTTCCGTTTGGTCAATCCAATTCCGTTGGAGGTTTCTCATTCGGATCTTCTCCCGTAACTAATTCATCTTCTGCTTCGTCTACCACTTCACCGTTATCTTTCTCCTTCAACCAATCTTCAAACCCTAGCTCCACCGGATTTGGTTTCGGATCCACCGCTTCATCAACTCCTGCTTCCTCCACATCATCATCTTTTGGATTCGGAGCTTCCTCAACTCCTTCGTTCGGATTCGGTTCCTCTGCCTCATCGACTCCATCGTTCGGATTCGGATCCTCTGCTTCATCGACTCCTGCTTCCACAACTCCATCTTTTGGGTTTGGAGCCAATGCTTCTTCATCTGGTTCTGCTCCGTCACTGTTTGGTTCATCTACCACCAATGCTTCTGCTCCTTCTCCTGCTTCTTCTCCTTTCGGATTCGTAACTTCCTCCGCTTCTCAGCCTGGTTCATCTCCGTTCGGCGCTCCGTCCTCCTCCTCCGCAGCTCCGTCTTCATCTCTTTTTGGAGCAGCTGCGGCTCCAGCAAGTGGTTCATCATCTCTTTTTGGATCTTCCTCATCTTTATTCTCCGCTTCTTCGTCTGCCTCCACCTCGAATTCACCTCTCTTCGGAGGATCCTCATCCGCCGTTTCTTCAACATCTCCGCTTTTCGGCGCCCCTTCTTCAGCAACCGGTTCGTCACTCTCCTTCGGTGTGGCCTCATCAGCCTCTGGCTCCTCACCGTCAATCTTTGGAGCCGCCGGTTCGTCACCTTCCTTCAGTGTTGCCTCATCAGCCTCTGGCTCCTCACCGTCAATCTTTGGAGCCGCCGGTTCGTCACCGTCTATCTTCGGTTCCTCTTCGTCAGCCGCTTCAACTCCGTCTCTCTTTGCATCGTCCTCTTCAGGAGCATCAGCTTCTTCACCTTCCCCGTTTGGAGTATCCACCATTAATCCCCCAGCTACAACCAATCCTTCGCCTGCCTCAGCTTCTCCTTTCTCCGCTTCTACGGGATTCTCTTTCTTGAAAAGCACATCAAGTTCGACAACCACCGCCACTGCTTCTGCTCCTCCACAAATGGCTTCATCTTCTTCATCCTTCTCATTTGGTCCACCCGCCAGTTCAGGCTTTAACCTTTCAACCGGAAGCTCAGCAGCACCTGCATCTAGCACACCCGGAGCAGTATTTTCTATTGCAACCACTACCACTACTTCTTCTTCGACTCCCGCTGCTACTAGTACACCAGCTTCTTCAGCTGCAGCTTCTACAATGGGTTTCCCTTCTTTTAGTGTGAGTTCATCTGCAACCAACACCACTCCGGCTAGCTCCGCTGCTACATTTGGTACTACAGGATTTGGTTTGGCTAGCTCAACTCCTGCCGCTGGATCTACTAGCTCCTTTACTGGATTTTCTGTACCCCATACATCAACACCTGCATCATCTTCACAACCACAAACCACTAGTTCTGCATTCTCATTCAGTAAGTTGCTTAGGTTTTGTCTCAGGATTGTTTGTGATTTTGCTTATCCAATTTGTCACGATGATTAGGAATAAGAGTTTGGAGAATTGTGGGGATCATTGATTAGGCTTAGAAATGTGATCGATGTACTTGATCTACCTTAATCTAGATATACTCCATATAGTCTATGACATGAATACATACCTGTCGAGTTGTTTTACGGATTAGAAGTTATAGTTCTTTTTGTCTGAAAGAAGTATTGTTGTTGTTCAGGTGTTCCATCTTCGACTTCTACTACTGCTCCTGCTACCAGTTCTGCTACTACAACACAGACATCTCTTGTTGTGGCTTCGAGTAGTGGGTATGCTCTTCTCATATTTTGACCAATACATAATGATCCAAATGGTTGTACATGTTCTACCTTCACCTCGATGATGCTGTAGCTGATGTTTACTTGTTATATGTTTCTTGTTATTTATTAGGACGAGCACAGCTGTTGCTCCAGTGGCTGGTTCTCCAAAGTTGCCATCTGAAATAACTGGCAAAACTGTTGAGGAGGTAGATCTTTGCCCTCTTATACAGTTCAACATTTATCTTTTTCTGGCCATGTTATATACATACCAAATGTTGTTTTTGACGTTTGTAGATTATCAAGGAGTGGAATACTGAGCTACAAGAGCGCACAGGGAGATTCCGGAAGCAGGCAAATGCAATAGCAGAGTGGGATAAGCGGATCTTGCAAAATCGAAATGTTCTTTTGAGACTTGAGGTGAAAATTAATTTGTCATATTATGGAGTCGCTATTAAAAAGAAATTTCCCTTTTGAATCTTCAGAGACAATTGTTCTGAGCAGACCTTTGAGTTTGCATGTTTAGCTCATATATGCCTCTACTGTATAATTAACTCAATCTTTTTGTGTACTTCATCAACAAACAGATTGAAGTTGCAAAAGTGGTTGAAACACAGTCAAGCTTGGAACGACAGTTGGAATTAATTGAGACTCATCAGCAAGAGGTATGTGATAGCAGTATCATATCTTTATGTTAATCTGTAAATTAGGTTTCTGATTGTAGCATGCAGCTGGAAATCATATGTGCCTTATCTGTGGGAAATTAAATTTCTCTAGTTCATAATCTCTCTCAGTCTCAGACTGTCACACTCTTTTTTTTTTCCTGAGTTTTTCTGATGAGAGGATCATCAACCTTATACCTCGCTTAATTCGAAATTGGGCATGTCAATACCAAAGCCACTGTGCCAATCATCGACATTGGGCAAGTCAATACGAAAGCCATTGTGCTAATCATCTGAAATTCTCTGTTCGTGGTTTAGGTTGACAAAGCTTTGCAAAGCATGGAGGAAGAGGCTGAGCGTATATATAATGACGAGCGGAAATCACTTCTTGACGATGAAGCTGCATCAACTAGAGATGCAATGTGAGAACTCTTTTTTAGTCTTTCCACCATCATCACCTTTTACTTCATATTATTTTGATGAATACTGAAAGACACGGAAACAAATATGATTTGATCTATGCTTAATTAGCTCTGTCTTGCGCATCCTAGCCTGATTTAATGCTTGTATACAATATACTTTGTTTTTCATCCCAGGTATGAACAGTCTGAGCTTGTAGAAAGAGAATTGGAGCATATGACTGAACAAATCAGATCGATCATACAATCCGTAAATGCAAACCAGGTATGTATGCGGATGTGGTACCTTCTCTCATACTATTCCTTTTCTCAGTAAACATGCATCATAAACCTTTTTGTGTGAAACAGGGGGGAGAACTTGAAGCAATAGATGGGATGAGTCCATTGGATGTTGTTGTAAGAATCTTGAACAATCAACTCAGTTCCTTGATGTGGATTGATGAGAAAGTAAGTTTCGTTAACGAGTTAATTAATTGTCTTTTGCCATTGTTACAATAACGACAGTCCTGTTAACTTAACCATTGTGAAACTCTGAACAGGCAGAGGAATTCTCTTCTCGGATTCAAAAAATCGCATCGCAAGGTTCTGTTGGAGATCGTGAATTGATGGCTCCAAAACACTGGATGTCTTGATAGAAAATTTAAAAAAAAAAAAGAAAAAGAAAACACAACATCTCAGGAAATGAATATCTTCTGTTTAGTTTCGTGTTATTTCACTGTGCTAGAAGTGTCTGATTTTACAATTACACATTATGAATTTTTTACCACAAAGATTTGTATCATCATTTGAATAATTTGATTGACTGGTTGGTTTGTTGTAATCCCAATTTTAATTACTTTCCATTAAAAGTCAAAGCAGAGGGCTTTTAATGTTCACCGCTCCAAAATGGTGCGAAACGACGACGTGGCATCTAGATTTCGGATTTGTTTCCTTTATTTTTATTTTTGGATTTTTTCTATGACCAGAGACTTTTTGTCACGACGTCTCACGCGTCTCGAAACAAAACGTTGTTAGAGAGTTTCTACGATTCCGGCGACCTCATTGGTGGTGACACTAACTATTATACTTTTCTTTGCTTACACTCTTGACCGGCTTCGATGGCGGACGGAAACGCCGCTTCGCGTTACGTGAAATTGAGGAAAGAGCAGGCTCCTGTCGAAGAAGATATCACGCCCGGCGAACTCAATCAGCCCATTGATGTTCCTCAGGTATGTTAGATTCTCTCTCTGCATTACTCTTACGCACGTTCCTAGACAACTCCGATCTCGTTATTCCTTCAGATCTGTCTATCTTAATCGATTTCATGGTTTTGATCATCTGTCTGTGGTGTGGTACTGTGGTAGAGTTCTTGCTGATTCCGATTGTTGTCTGTGCTGATTCTAATTGTTGTTTATGTCTATCTAGACCTCTAGATGAGGTGTAATGGATGGATTCGTTGTCCTGTTTGATTGTGGATTAAAGTAACTAATCTCTGTTAATTCTATTTCTGTGATCGATCTTGGATTTCTCCTGGATTTTTCATGTTTTATCTTGTGATGTGATATAGCAAAAGCTTGGTTTGAATTTTTCTGTGATCTCTATTTTGCACCGCTTGTTTTGAAATTTTGCTATCAACACTGATTAGTCTTTATCAAGCAAACTATTAAAATAAGGCCAGAGTCTAGTAGTGTATAGCTTCCATATGAGAATGTGTGCTGGAATGGAGAAACTCGAGACTATCTTTATATGAGATTTTGAATTTTTTTGTCTTTTTATTATGCGAGTCATTGGGGTGTGGCATTTTATACGTCTGAGCTGAATATTACAATCACTCTACTGCTTTTTATGTTTTAAATTGTTTACAGTTGAATGTCCGAAAGTGCCATGAATGTATGCAAGTTCTGCCTGAGACATATGAACCCCCTTCTGATGAAAACTGGACCACCGGCATTTTTGGTTGTGCTGAAGATCCAGAAAGCTGTAAGATTCCCTCTTTGTTTTGTAACTTTTCCAATCCTTAATCACCTGTTCTTGTGCATGGGTTCCCTATTACTTTTTGGCGAAATGTTGTCATCGTAGTTTATTATGCTTTTCTTAATGGATGATTATCACTCCGGAGGACATTTTTAACCAATGCTATTGTATGATTTTGCAGGCAGGACAGGTCTCTTTTGCCCGTGTGTACTGTTTGGGCGTAACATTGAAGCTGTAAGGGAAGAGATTCCTTGGACCCAACCATGTGTATGCCATGCAATATGTGTTGAAGGAGGTATGGCACTTGCAGCGGTAACAGCACTCTTCAGTGGCTACATTGATCCTCAAACAACAGTCGTGCTATGCGAAGGCCTCTTCTTTGCTTGGTGGATGTGTGGAATCTATTCAGGCTTGTTCCGCCAAGAACTCCAGAAGAAATATCATCTCAAGGTAAGCAAAAATCCCACATCAGGTCATTCTCATATTTCGGATGTGATCTCTGATTGATATCTTTTTTGTGATTTTCTTGCAGAATGCGCCTTGTGATCATTGCATGGTTCACTGTTGCTTGCACTGGTGTGCTTTGTGCCAAGAACACAGGGAGATGAAGAATCATCTTTCTGATACAGAAGCTTCATCATCAACTACTATGGATCCTCCCCCAGTTCAAGAGATGAACACCGAGGAGAAAAGAGACGCTTCATCTTCTTCATCTTCGTCCCCATCATCTGCCAAAAGCCAACACAATGATCTCGAGATGGTCCCTCTATAGGAAACGTTCCTTATTAATCTCTCTGCTGCTTATGCTCTATAAGCTGTTTTCTCTGTGCAGAGAAGCTTTTCCGTACCAGATGATTCTGCTGCCCTTAGGTTTAAAATATACAAAAGTTTGTTCTAAGAACAAGTTCATTAGTAATTAACTTTTTTTACAGAACTTAATTCATGACTTCATTGAATCTTTTTTGGTTGGGTGGGAGAATTATCTGTCTTTGATATATTTTGTGATTGAATGCCGGTAAAACTGTTTCGTCTTTGTCAGATGTCTCGTACCGTCCGTCAGTCGTATTATTCTAGTTATAAAAGTGTTGAGTTAATATCAGAAGCACCCGTGGCCTAATGGATAAGGCGTTTGACTTCTAATCAAACGATTGTGGGTTCGAGTCCCACCGGGTGTGATACTCAATCTTTTTGTTTGTTTCCCTGACTAGAATTAGAAAATATTGGAGTTACTGATTTTCATACAGATGAGTAAACTCTAAACATTGATGATTTTACAAAATGGGTGTATCTGGTGACATTTCATTAGTTCTTACCTCTAGGGTTCAAAAATTGTCTTTTTTTTTTTTCTTTTTTCTTTTTTGTCGGATAAAACATAATTAAACATGTCATTCAAAAATTTATAGTCTTTACAGGTTCTCAACCTCACAAGTATGCAGAAACTGAACTATAATTTCTAGTTGCTACTAGCTAGTAAATGCCGCCAGAGAAAGACTCAGATTTTGTAAATCAGGTCTAATAGCCAATCTGGTGTAAATTAGCCCCGGGCACAAAGCGAATATTCGGAAAATTTGTGATATTTGTTATTGCTTCGCCTCGACCGAATAGTTGATTTTGCTATTTGCTTCGATTTGTAAATTTTCGAGTATTCGGTACTTCGAATATTCGGATATTTTTCGTAATATTTGCGAATTACTTGCTTCACTTCGCTTCGACCTATCTAATTTTTTTTTTGAAATAAAAAACATATAGTACGTAAATATAAAGTGCAAAATATGAAATATTAGAGGTTTTTATTTGACATGTTTTCAAAATAAGAAGGAAATGTAACCACCGTCCATAGAATTCTCACATTTTATTTTTAATAATGATTTTTGTAGTAAAGTTTTATTTGCTTAAAACAACATTTAGCAAAAAAAAAAACCCAACGAGCCAAAATATAATAATTTGAATAATAGACCTATCAGATATATACCCAAATCTATAAATACACATATTATATATATTATATGTATTATATAATAATTTATATTTATACATATATATAAATATACGAAGCGAAGCGGATATTCGGCACTAAAAAAATCAATATTTGTTATTTGCTTCGGTTTTTACGAATACTAGATTTTCATATTTGCTTCCGTTCAATATCTTATAAATATTTGAATTTTTCGAATCGAATCGAAACGAATATCGAAGCGAAGCGAATCTAACGAATATTTTGCCCAGGGCTAGTGTAAATGTTGCTAAACCGAACCGTAATAGATCAAACCGAAGCTGAATCAAAATTGATTATACAAGCATATACAGTTACACACTATCTCAAGTCTCAAACCCCATTTCCTAAAACCCTCGTCCACTTCGAGCCATGGCGAGGTTCCCGACTTCTCCGGCGCCTAACCGCCTCTTGAGGCTCTTCTCCTCCAACAAACGGTCTTCATCTCCTACCGCCGCGCTTTTAACCGGGGATTTCCAGCTGATTCGTCATTTCTCCGCCGGAACCGCTGCTCGTGCGGCCAAGGATGGGAAGGAACCATGGTGGAAAGAATCCATGGACAAGCTTCGCAACATCGGGATCTCAGCTCACATAGACTCTGGGAAGACTACTTTGACTGAGCGTGTTCTCTTCTATACCGGTCGGATCCATGAGATCCACGAAGTCAGAGGTAGAGACGGCGTCGGCGCTAAAATGGACTCCATGGACTTAGAGCGGGAGAAAGGTATCACCATCCAATCAGCCGCTACCTACTGTACTTGGAAGGATTACAAGGTGAGGAGACACAGAGAGAGAAAAATATGTATTTCTTGTGATTCTGTGATTTGCGATTTCTTATCAGATTTGTCTAGTTTGGGATATTAAAGTAATCCTTGTATTAAAACTTTGGTAAATCGAAATCTCAATTCTATTGAATTTCACTTTTAAAATTTTTGGTTTTGATTCTTGTCAGGTTAATATTATCGACACTCCTGGTCACGTTGACTTCACCATTGAAGTGGAGAGGGCATTACGTGTACTAGACGGTGCGATTCTAGTCCTATGCAGTGTTGGTGGTGTACAGAGTCAATCTATTACAGTCGATAGGCAAATGAGGAGATATGAAGTCCCCAGAGTTGCGTTTATCAACAAGCTTGATCGAATGGGAGCTGATCCATGGAAAGTCTTGAACCAAGTGTGTTTAAACCTGTGATCCTTTTATGTTTTCCTTATTCAATGAGTTTGATCAACTATAGCTTTAACTTTTCTTTTTTACTTCACTAGGCAAGAGCTAAGCTCCGACATCATAGTGCAGCTGTGCAAATGCCCATTGGTCTAGAAGAAAATTTCCAGGGTCTTATAGACCTTATTCATGTGAAAGCTAATTTCTTCCACGGATCAAGCGGGTCTGTATTCAATCCTTTTTCTAGACTTGCTTATGTTGTAGTGGGGCACATGTATATGTTATATGTTGTGACATTTTTTTCTTTCTATAAATTGCAGTGAGAATGTTGTGGCTGGTGATATTCCTGCTGATATGGAAGGTTTGGTTGCAGAGAAGAGGCGAGAATTGATTGAGACAGTCTCCGAAGTTGATGATATACTCGCAGAGAAATTTCTAAACGATGAGCCTGTATCTGCTACTGAGCTTGAGGTCTGTTCTTTTTCATTTAATGTTGCTTTTTTCGCAGTGTGTGCTGTCGCACATATAATCACGAGAACATTCAAATTCTTTGCCTGAAACATAGGAGGATAGTTCCCGAAAATTTGATAAATATGTATATATATATATATATATATATATATATTATTGGCAACTTATGTTATTTAGTTCTTTAATTTCACTTAAACAGATATCAATCCTGAGGGAATGTTGAATCATGCGGGTCCTAACTTACTTGCCTTAGGCATTTTCATAACTTCATTGTGTTATCTTTCATTTCTAGCTTCTAGGAATTGCTACGCTTAGATATTATTGCTCATTTACTTGCAGTTATGCTAGTGTAACTTTTTTGGCTTGCTGTGTATATATGCAGGAAGCTATTCGTAGAGCTACCATAGCACAAAAGTTTGTTCCTGTATTTATGGGTAGTGCATTCAAAAACAAGGTAATTGAAATTTTGAATCTAAAAGATGATATTTGCTGAAGTTTGGATTACATATTCACTTATGTTTCTCTTTGTCCTGTTGTGCCTCTATTAAAAAGTTTTGCCGTAATCCCTTAATTTGTGTCTGCAGGGAGTACAACCTCTATTAGATGGTGTTATAAGTTATCTCCCTTCTCCAAATGAAGTCAACAACTATGCTCTTGACCAGACAAACAATGAAGAGAGGGTACTCAACTTGTAATTTTGTTTTATAGGAGAAATATGCCGGTTCTAATGGAATGATTTTCAGGTAACCTTGACTGGATCTCCAGATGGACCTCTTGTGGCACTGGCTTTCAAACTAGAGGAGGGTCGTTTTGGTCAGCTGACATATTTGAGGTAAATGCTGAATTTCACTCTTGATTATATATAGGATGCTTTCTAAATATTAAAAGTACTTTGTGCCCTTCTGTCATGCATCCATTTGTGATGCTAACTCATGTTTTTTGTTTGTTGATGAAGAGTTTATGAAGGTGTGATTAAGAAGGGTGATTTTATCATAAATGTCAATACTGGAAAAAGAATTAAGGTTAGTTCTTGGATCTTAGTATTGCGTTGAGAACTTGAGATTTTTAACGCTATGTAGTCTTGTGCATAAATTTATACCAAATTACACTGAAAAAGTATAGTTTTCTGGTTCCTGACCTGACATGAATACAATTCTTCTGCGCTGTGTAAACATAATCATAGATGCTAAATGTCTGAAATTCAGACTACTTTGTCTTCGTTTTTTTTAACCCTTGCAAGTCATGCCTGTGATACTGAATTTTACCTAAAGGCTATTTAATGACTCTTGGTCTAGGTTCCACGCTTGGTCCGTATGCATTCAAATGATATGGAGGTTAGTTGAAGCTTATTTTTCTCCATACGATTTCATTATGGTAGCTACATGGTGGCAACTCTCGTGCCATGTGACTGAATTCTAAATATTATTCTATTTCCAGGATATTCAAGAGGCACATGCTGGACAAATTGTAGCTGTGTTTGGTGTTGAGTGTGCATCAGGTACAATAGAAAATTATTCTGTATGAGATTCTGATGTTGTATTTCTTGTTCGGACTGTTTTCTAAACTCAATATATAATCAGGTGATACATTTACGGATGGATCAGTCAAGTACACAATGACATCGATGAGTGTTCCTGAACCTGTTATGTCCTTAGCTGTTCAACCGGTTTCAAAAGATTCTGGGGGACAGGTAACTTCTGTGAATTTTTTTGTAACTAAAATAACTCACATGTTTCCTTTAATTTCTTGTTTTGAGAAATCTGCAATTGATATATACTTTCCTGTGTTAGTTTTCGAAAGCATTAAATCGATTCCAGAAGGAGGATCCTACTTTCCGAGTGGGATTGGATCCCGAGAGCGGCCAGGTATCATCTAAAGAACTCTGTTACTTCTCAATTCTCATCACCTCTCTCATATTTCACCCGTAGTATTCTACATTGTTAATTCATCCATGTATCCTGACAGACGATTATTTCTGGTATGGGGGAATTGCATCTGGACATCTATGTTGAGCGCATCCGCAGAGAATATAAGGTGCCTGACTTAAAGCCTACTTAACGTTCTCACTTCATCGCTTCTCGTCAGAATCCCTTATTTCTGGAAATTTCAAACAGGTCGATGCGACGGTGGGCAAACCCCGTGTCAATTTTAGGGAGACTATTACTCAGCGGGCTGAGTTTGATTATTTACACAAGAAGCAAAGTGGAGGAGCGGGTCAGTATGGTAGAGTTACAGGGTGAGTATCAAAAACTTATAGTGCCTAAATGATGTACTTTGGATCCTTTGTAAACCAATTCACATCTGGTTAAATTATTATGATTTTAAGGTACGTGGAACCACTTCCACCGGGCTCTAAAGAGAAGTTTGAATTTGAAAATATGATCGTTGGGCAAGCAATTCCGTCTGGTTTTATCCCAGCAATTGAGAAAGGTTTTAAAGAAGCTGCAAACTCGTGAGTGGTGTTCTCTTTCTTCAATTTTCCTTACCCTCTTGTTTTGGTTGAGGAAATGTTGAAGTGATTGTGGAACCTACAATTCCATTGCAGGGGCTCACTAATTGGTCACCCTGTAGAAAATCTCAGAATAGTATTGACAGATGGAGCTTCACACGCGGTGGATTCCAGTGAACTTGCGTTTAAAATGGCTGCAATATACGCATTCAGACTGTGTTACACAGCAGCGAGACCGGTGATTTTAGAGCCTGTAATGTTGGTCGAGTTGAAAGTACCAACAGAGTTTCAGGGTACTGTCGCTGGTGACATTAACAAGTAAACTCTAAACTCTAAAACCCTGTAACAACAATACCTTTTCTCCTTACTGTATTAGTATAACAACTCAACTTATTTCAATTTCAGGAGGAAAGGTATAATCGTTGGAAATGATCAAGAGGGTGACGATTCAGTTATCACAGCTCATGTGAGAACCAAAACAAAACAATAAAAGCAAAATTTTAGTTTGATCAAGTTTTGAAATCGTAATTAACAACATGTTGTTGTGTTGTAACAGGTGCCTTTGAACAACATGTTTGGCTACTCCACTTCTCTCCGGTCCATGACACAAGGGAAAGGGGAATTCACGATGGAATACAAAGAACATTCTGCTGTGTCCAATGAAGTACAGGCTCAGCTCGTCAATGCTTACAACGCCAGCAAAGCTACTGACTAAGCTAGCCCCTCGATAGATGTTATGGTTTATTTGTTTTTCACAAATGTTGAATTACAACATTTATTTTATACGGGTTTTACAACCAACAAAAATCACTCAACATAAAATGCCTAATGGGCTTTGTCAGAAAGTCACTATGCTTATTGGGGCCAGTAGGTAGGTTTTTGTTATCTCTATTTGTCCATCAGTCCCAATCATTTTGATAAATGTAAAACCAAGCAAATACTATTTATTTTTCGGTGTTTGTCACACAATAACAGTTTACTACATTAATAATCTGTATAATATAAGATAGGGTCGAAAAGAAGCCAACCAAAAAATCGTTAAGAGGCAACAATCATTGAGATAGAGTCGTATTCACGTCAAATAAGAGAAAGAGAAGATGAAGCAACAACAGTCTCTAACGAACGACGTCAGACTTTTTTCTTTATAACTTCATCTCAAAGCCACTCCTTTATTTTTCTCTTCTTCAACAGGAGTTGGTGATGGTGACAGCATTTCTTCATCTCCTTTGAAATTACCATCATACCCTTCGGTTTAGTTGTTGCTCCTACTTATATATCTAATTTTGCTTCCTTCTCCTTTCTTAAACCAACTTTGGATAGTATTTTCCTAAACGAGATATATGCTTAAACCAAAACTATTTGAGAGGGCAGATTGACCATTGAAGTCGTTCCAATCTCTTCAATGGATAGTACTGTAATTTTGGTAATATTGATTATTAATTTTTTATATTCTACACTCAACAGTCAAACATCATATTCTTTCTTTTTTCATTATTCAACAATTCGAATCCAAATTTGGTGTGTTTTGGTTAGCTAATAACTTCCTACTAAACTAAACTAACACAATCCATTAATCATGTTTAGTAACAACAAAACGGTCCAACCTTCCATTAAACCAAAATATATTTTCATATTTATAGCATAGCTTTTCCCTCCACGCAACTTCAACCAATATCCAAAGATAACAAAAAAAAACATCTCTTCACTTCACATCACATCAGACGACCATGTATCATAATCATCATCCATGCTATCGCAAACCCATCACAACCATCTTCTCCTTCTTCCTTCTCTGTATCAATCTCAATCTCCACAACCTACAAATCATCGAAGCTCGAAACCCATCTCAGTTTACGACCAACCCATCCACTGATGACGTTTCTATACCGGAGATCAAACGCCACCTTCAGCAGTACGGCTACCTCCCTCAAAACAACGATTCCGATGACGTCTCGTTCGGGGAAGCTCTCGCTCGTTACCAGAAAAATCTCGGCCTACCGATTACTGGGAAACCAGATTCCGACACGTTGTCACATATTCTATTACCAAGATGTGGATTCCCTGATGACGTGGAAGTGGAATCCAAAACGCCGCCGTTTCGCACAAGAAAAAAATACGTGTACTTCCCAGGACGACCCAGGTGGTCAAAAGACCTCCCACTGAATCTCACGTACGCCTTCTCGCAGGAGAACCTAACCCCTTACTTAACACCATCAGAGATACGGCGCGTGTTCGGACTCGCTTTCGCCAAGTGGGCTTCGGTGATCCCCGTAAGCTTCATCGAAACTGAGGATTACGTCGACGCCGACATCAAAATCGGGTTCTTCGCCGGTGATCACGGCGACGGAGAGCCGTTCGACGGCGTTTTAGGTGTTTTAGCACACACTTTCTCGCCGGAGAACGGTAGGCTTCATCTGGATAAAGCAGAGACGTGGGCGGTTGATTTCCATGAGGAGAAATCGACGGTGGCCGTGGATTTGGAATCTGTGGCGGTTCACGAGATCGGCCACGTGCTTGGACTAGGACACAGCTCGGTGAAAGACGCGGCTATGTACCCAACCTTGAAGCCAAGGAGTAAGAAAGTGAATCTGAATATGGACGACGTCGTTGGAGTACAGTCTCTGTACGGAACAAACCCTAATTTCACGATAAGTAGTTTACTTGCGTCAGAAACTTCGACCAACCTAGCCGATGGTTCGATGATCCGGGGGTCTGAAGGAGGAATCTTCTATTCAACTTTGACAACTGTTATGGCTCTCTCTTTTCTTATTTGGTAGGTTCGTAGACTAGCTAAAGTTTCTTTATTAAAAAGAAATATCGATTATAGGATTAGTTCAAACAAATCTGAAATCATATTCATAGGAGAATGTTTAATTGTTTATGTTTAGGTTTGGTACAAAATGTTTTATGTTATTCCAACAAAAAGAAGAAAGAAAAAATAACACCACTATTCCATTTATCATCAGGGTCCATTAGATTATTGGGTTTCAGATATACATGGCCCAATGGACTGCTGATTTTGCTAATAAACTGAGAACAAATTTAAGGTTGGGTATTCGACTTTTGCGCGATGTATTAACACATAAGAACTCACAGTCCAGAGCAAATAACACAATTCGTTCATGCAGAGATGTAACTGTCGACACATTTTTATTTAACACTTAAGTTATTTAATAAAAGAAAAGAAAGAAAGAAGGAAAAAAAAAAGAAGAAAATCCCGACACAATTTCTTTGGATATCGCAAAACACAATTGTCGTTGTCGCATTGAAAAGGAAAGGGTAGGCTCCATGGCCCATAATCATATTAACGGTACGGCCTTGGTTTAAATCTCTTTCCTTCTTCTCTCTTTATCAATTTTTTTTTAATGGTTTTTGTTGGTATTCACAATTATTTGGGGGAATAATTTAAGTGCCTACCCAATTGTCTTTCAAAAACACAAACAAAAAAAGTAAATAAATGACTAGAAAATAAAGACTATGTAAGTTTTTGATGGATTTTTACAGCAGCATTTTGGAATTATGATGATTGTAAACCACTATTGTTTCTTTCGTGTTCGTAATTAATTTTTATTTGCCGAGACAATATTATCTACTGACTATAAATAATATCATCATCTTCAACTTCATTGGTTCCCTACATTTGGGGAGGGGATCTATATATATATAGTTCATTTGACAAATTATTGCTCAACAGCTTATATCTTTTGTTTTGTCACAAAGACACACATCTCTTATACGTTATCTTATACATATATATATTGTAATATGTACGGTATTCTTTTTCTCCATATATATAAGTCGTATGCGGTATGCTCATCATTTTTCATCGTTAGATATGTAGAATTAAGGTATGTAAGAGTAAACCTTGATATATACAACAACTCCGAGGAGCTATATAAGTAGCCCATAACCATTCATCCAATTGACATCATCAATATACTGCCATTTCTTGGGTTTTACATGAAAATCTGTAACTAATTTAGATAAATACTATATGTTAAAAAAAAATATGGTAGTATTAAAGAAGGAGACAAGAGGGATAAAGGAAGAGCATATGGTCTATCATCTTTGCATGTTATTCGTCAGAAGAGATTATATTTAATCTTAAGCCAAAAACGTCTCCTTTTATTTTCTTTATAACTTTCTTTTTCTTGTAAAATATTATTGACTTAAACCAAACATGAAAGAAAAAAAAGATCGAGTGTTGTTGAGAAAAATAGAAGAAAAAAAAACTGATATAAAAAAAAATAATATTCGGTGTCATTATGGGCACATGAGGCCGCACGTGTTCTTGCTGTTTACTTTGGGATCACCGTCCTCTGTCACGTCACGTGATTCAAGAAACCAAAATAAAATAAAAATCAAAAGAATAAACCAAAAAAAAGAGAGTTTAGTAGTATAGTAGTTATATCAATAATGGGATATATTTATATTCGTTGGTAAGATATATAAAAAGAATGAAATGGGAGTTACGAGCGTTCTTAGTGATCACTTATGCTTACTTCCTTATAAGTAGAGTCACGAGACAACAACATTTGGGGAGTATCAATCAAATCCCATAAGTCAATTATAAAACTGAATAATATGAAGCTTTTCAAATAAGAGAGACTCTGATCGAAAGAGAGAGAGACAGACAGAGATATATATATATATACTCAATACTGCTACGTACTAAAGAGAGAAGTGTTTTAGTGTCACCGTACGTCAAATGTACTTTCTTTCTATTTTCTTTTTTTCAATTTTATTGTTTTTTTTGTTTTTGTTTTTGAGGGACTTATTGCAGCATAAATAGCTAATTTAGATTTGGTAAATATATGGTATAAAGAGTAAAATTTTATGAGTAGAGTGAAAGTGAACCCTCGAAAGCCAAGAGGAAAGGTGACAGTTGGAAAAGACACTGTCGGTAGTAAGTGAAAAATGAAATCATACTCTTAATTAGTCTTCTAGTAATGGAATAGAACAAGGCAAAAAGAAAAAACAAATATCTTCTCTCAAAATCATATCATTATCATAAAGTATTGGGGGGGGGATACCTCTCGTTCCGTGCCATCGTGTTTACTTAATGCTGAATGTGCAGTGGGGTTGAGCCATTGTGCGTAGTCACTCTTTGTTTGGTCACTACCCAAATTTTTTAAATATAAAAATTATACATTATAATTTCACACAAACTCATATAGTTTCGTGTTAATACTATATGATTCGTATTTAACAATTTATCTCAGTGTGATCAAAAACCCTAGCAAGCGTCACACGACACGGCCCGTTTCTTTCTCCTTCTCTTTAAAAAAAAAAAAAAATTTAACTCATACTATAATAAAACCTCTATAAATTAATACTCGATAAATTAATACTCTCGATAAATTAATAAATTTGTCCGGTCCCAACTTAGGATCAGTGTAATTTTAGACACATTTCGATAAAATAATAAGATAATAAATTTTTTGAAAATCTTTTGTAAATATATGGTCCCATCTATATTATAAATTAATAATTAGGTGAAATTTTCAAAATATATGTATATATAGACACAATAGTTTTTTGTTATAGTTTATTTCTAATATTTTACTATATCAATAATTGTTAGCATTATCTTTCAATACATAATAATTATTATTTTCTTTGTAACTGATTATATAAAATACTAATTATCATAATTAAATCTTATTTTTAAATTTCTTTTGTAAAAAATTTCCAAATTAGGAAAATATCTCTATCGATAAATTAATACCTCTATAAATTAATAGATTTTCATGGTCCCAACATTATTAATTTATAGAGGTTTTACTGTATATTACATTTAGTTTTGTGTACACTTCTTAAAATAAGAGGAAAGCATTACATAATTTCGTGCAAAAAAATATCATCAGTTATTAATGAATTTTCTCAATTTTCGGAAAATTTGCACGGTGTTGTACAACATATTTAATTCAAGACTATAGTATAAAAAAGAGTCATACATATATTGTACTTACATTTACATATGAGGTTCATTTCCAAAACTAAAATATTCGTTATACTCTTTTTTAGTTAATTTTTTTTTTAATAAAAAGCATCATCTTATTATTATTCTTCTTCTTACAATGTTATGGCCCCCACATGCAGCCACGTTGCTAAAATTACCCTTTCTCATTTTACATTTTTTTTTCTTTCGTGAAAGATGAAAATATATAATTTTTTTATCTTTTTGTGTGGATAGGTCAATAACTAAAATTGTCGGCACGTACCATAAAGCATGTGTTATCCTTTTATATATTTGGAAAATAATATAAAGGAGTGTAATTAAACATTAGCTTAGTTATTCCGCCGAACAACTCTTTTTTTTTTTTTTTTTTTTTAACTCAGAATTTTTAAAAAAAAAACTTGATTCAGACAAATTGGCCCGAGCAAGCTCTTCCATTATTCGTCTGCAGCATATACGTGCATTATATTCCGCTTAACCCTTATTTTGATAACATTTTATTTTATTTTTAATTTTTATAAAGGATCTTGATAATCAGTGTTAAAAAAAAAAAGGATCTTGATAATACTTTAGTTCATTTTGTTTTCAGCTTAAACCTCGTATTAACTATATGGTTATGAATGTTTAGGAGATGTTAAGTGGTTTTTAGATTACAGATTATACAATTTAGTTTTTAAATTTTAATTTTTTAGTTTTTAGATTTTACAATAATAAAAAATAAACAAAAAAAATAAAAATAAAAAATCACGTAGAAGAAATCTTAAAACCTATTTAAATGAAATTTTGGATTTTGTTAACAAATTGGTAAAAACTCTTAGAATCTGGATTCCTTATATATGTACACGCATTAGTTCGAGACAATGCAGGAGCCGATTCTTTTCTTTTTTTTTTTTAGCACAAGAGCATTGCAAAATTTGTTCGATTCTGGTTTGTGTAAATATATAATTAAAACGACGAAAAAAGTTTCATATACGGACATGCGTATGATTAATTGAAAGAAAAGGAACACAGTGATATAGATAGATAGATAGACCCACTAAATAAGTGAATAATACGTACATAATATATAGTACAGAAGCAACGAAAGAGACGTATGTATGATGGCCGAAAACATTTTTTCTGTAATTATAGGAAAAAACAATATGTGAAGTTATATATGCAGACCATGACTCATGGTTAAGTTCTCCTTACGCCGGTTTGGAAAAAAAAAAATAAGTTTCGAGATCATAATTCTCTCTCGCTCAAATGCGGTGAAATTTGAAGATTTTGAGCTATTTTTCGTAAATCAAAGAATAGTTTGAGTTTACAAATTAGAAAAGTATTTAATCAATGATGATCGTGTAGGAATGTTAAGAATAGTTCTAACTTTTATATCCAACTTGATTGGATATGGCTAAATGGTAATCCACAACTATTAGATTATAAGAAAACAAGATCAATTAGTAAATTATAGTATAAACCAATCAACTTGAATCATCGATCATCTAGCTAATCTCAAAAACGTAACCATACTTTTCGATACAAATTAAAGTCTCAACCAAACAATTTGCTGAAAAACATTACTTATAAATTACAAACGTAATTAATATATGTTGGCTTACTCAAATTTAGTTTAATAAAATCACGAGGGGATAGGTGAAAACATACAAAACCATGTTAAATAAACTCGAGTTTTTCTTGTTTTTGTTTTTACTACGGTTTCAACTCGTAGGTGGCTATCATAAACAAATTATAAAAATTAGCAAAATAACTCTATAAAATTTGGAGATTGGCTTAGTTTTTCACACACCTAATTATAAAAATTAGCTAACTCTAAGTGCATAGTAACTTTTAACTCTCTTATTTTTTCTTTCTTATATAGAGATAAAGGTGGATATGATCTCAATAAAATAAAAATAAAGAAGTGAGAAGTGAATAAGGGCTAGTCGGTCACTTACGGTGCATGGTCACTCTCTCTGCACGTTCTCTTGCCCTCTCTCACTCTCTCTCTCTCTCATCATCTCCCCTATTAAAGACTCTTCTAACCAGTCACACAGAGAGTGAGAGAGACAGAGTCAGAGTCTTCTTCTGCAATAGCTTAGAGCTTGAAAAGATCAAACCAATCAATCATAAGATGGACTTGTATGGCTTATCTTCACCAGACTTACTTCGAATCGATGACCTTCTTGATTTCTCCAACGAAGACATCTTCTCCGCCTCTTCTAACAACTCCGGTGGTTCCACTGCCGCTACTTCCTCTTCTTCTTTCCCTCCTCCTCAAAACCCTAATTTCCACCACCATCATCTCCCTTCCTCCGCCGATCATCACTCCTTCCTCCACGACATTTGCGTTCCCGTACGTATAAACCTCTCTCTCCCTCTCTTTCTCTCTTTCAAAATCGATGATCTTCTTGATTTTTTAAAGATTGTGTTTTCGGTTTTGTGTACAGAGTGACGACGCAGCTCACCTCGAATGGCTTTCGCAGTTCGTCGACGATTCTTTCGCTGATTTTCCGGCGAATCCATTAGGAGGAACCATGGCTTCAGTCAAAAGCGAGACTTCGTTTCCGGGAAAACCAAGAAGCAAAAGATCAAGAGCTCCAGCTCCTTTCGCCGGAACATGGTCACCGATGCCACCGGAGTCCGAGCATCAGCAGCTTCACAACGCCGCGAAATTCAAGCCGAAGAAAGAACAATCCGGCGGAGGAGGAGGAAGACACCAGTCGTCGTCGTCGGAGTCTGGGGAAGGAGGAGGGATGAGGAGATGTACTCACTGTGCATCGGAGAAGACGCCACAATGGAGGACAGGACCACTCGGACCTAAAACGCTATGTAACGCTTGTGGAGTCCGGTTTAAATCCGGTAGACTTGTACCGGAATATAGACCGGCTTCTAGCCCCACTTTTGTTTTGACTCAGCATTCAAACTCTCACCGGAAAGTTATGGAGCTGCGACGCCAGAAAGAGGTTATGAGACAGCCACAACAAGTTCAGCTTCACCACCACCACCACCACCATCCCTTTTAGCATCACTTCCCTCCTCGTTACTTTTTTTTTTCTTTTTCCCGGAGGTTTTTTCTTCTTTACCCTTTTTTTGGGTTTCTTGGGGTTGGGTTTTTGGGATAGTGTCACGTGATGATGACGTGTCGCGATCGTAGCGGCGTTAATCACGTGACCGACGACGATGGGAGCCTAAAATTCTTTAGTGTTTAAAATCGAACGTTGCAAAATCAAAACCTCATTTAATTGTTAATTACTATAAATTTTTATATCTTTGGTTTGCCTTTTCTCCTACGTTATTACTTCATCCTTTAAATATTTAATTTTCGTTTTTTAAAATATTTACAAAAGATTATACTGAAGATGAATTAGAAAAAGCTACATTAATTTCCGCTTACACTAAACGTCGTCAGTGTTCAGAGTTATATACTTGTATATATTATCTACTTGCACCCTTATTGCATTTTCACGTTCCGACCATATTTATTATATACGAACTTGGAAGACGAAGAATATCATGTGGTTCTACGTTCCGGTTTAAGAAATTGTGAATTAAGGTTCGGTTTGCCTAAACTTTAGGGATCCAAAAACATGAAACCTGATGTAACAACGAAATTGATAAAACCATTGGAAGTTTCATACTAACGATATACTTAATTATAACACAACTGATTATATTGAATTTATTTCAATTTAAAGGGGAAACTGGATTTAAGAATACACTTGATGGAAGACTCAAACTGTTAAACATGACAACATCATCATGAACTTGTATTACTAACTATTGCCAAAGAGCTAAAGCCCTTAAAACATGTGACACAAGGGATAACATCTTTGGCATTTGACACGAAAAACCAAAAAAAGAATAAAAATCGGAATCGCATTGTAGACGACATTATTGTGTAATTTTGCATTCATCATCTAAGAACCCAAGAGTAAACAAATTCCGTAACTCGAATTAGTGGGGTTTGGTTTGCCTCATACGGAGATACCATAGTTGCTGATCTTGTTCACTTCCTTTGTCAGAGCGTTTCTCTCTTTCTTCACTTCAGATGCACGGTTCGATATCTGAGGGTCAACAAATTAGATATCTCCATTATACAACGTATGTGACAGTTTACTACTTTATCCTAGACTAGCATAGAGATTTAGAGACAAGTAATACTTACTTGAGAGCGGAATCTAGAAGCTTCTCTCGTTGGCAATTCTTTTAGAACATCTTTCAAACCTGTAAATACAAAATGATAGTTATCTCCTTCTATTATATGCATGTTTTTAGTTTCACAAACTTTGGCATTACAATACAGAAAGGTCTAAAACATACCTGCTGCTTGCTTTTCAATCTTATAAGCTGAGTGGATCGCACCTCTGATCTGTTTGCCTGCTTGTCTGTGTAAGAAGATGGAGAAAGTTAACATAATATTCATGTTGATGCATATCCAATTTACTGATCGTCTATTTTGTCTGGATCATAAACCTGAGTTTCATCCTTCCTCTAATCAATTCCTCTTCTGCCACAGTTGCAACTCTCTGAAACAATCAAATTGTTACGAATTCCAAAATAATCCAATAAAACCTTCCAACCGAATGTTATATTTCTGAAAAACATTGACTAATAACCAAGGCTTTTTTATATTCTATACTCTATAGAATAGGGGTTAAGACAGAGATCTGTCGCATTCATGAGAAATTAACTTCTGTTCATTAATAAGAAGAGGTAGACTAAAGAAAATCCTTTCTCTGCTTCAGCCCTGAATGAAACATAACCCTTTAATTTTATTGCAAATAGAACCATTCATCCATATGAATCTAAAGCAGGACTTAATAAAAGCTAAATAAGAGAGTTTTCTGTTCAAAAAAAACGGCCAAACACTTTTAATCTTATACTATTAGTAAGGCATTCTAGTTTAAAGATTATAGGATGCTGAAGAACTAATGCACAACATATGAACTCTTCTCCACAAACGTTAACCTCATGTTGAACGTTTGAAACAAACAACTCTTAATGCAAAGAAAAGGCTTACCTGTAACTTTTCACTTTCAGCTGTAAGACGATCCATTGATTGTCGCAACTCTTTTACTTTAAGATCAGCTCTAGAAAGCAAAGCCTGAATCAAAATATAGGGTAAAGACTCAAAAACCAGCTTTAACCACAGACAGCCCAGTTTATACATTCACCAATGCTGCAGAACGCTGACCTCTTCACTTAAAAACATGCGTACAGTATTGTAATATACAAATCTTCTTGTCTCTGCAAACAAACATGAACAATCAATAAAAGAGTTTATAACATAACATATTGAACTCCAGAGAGATAAAGAATATACCAAAAACTTACTTTTCAGAGCAAAAATCCCAACCCCAAAAGCCAAGGTGCCTGATATTAGCGGATGAGATGCAGCAACGTTCACACCATCTGCATACAAAATTGACAAATCTATTAGCAGAGAGATACATAGTCAACACGAGGTAGCCAGGAAAGTAGAACAAACCTTTAATCTTCCCAAACACCATTTGCTCGTAAACGTTATACTCAGAAGCTATCTCTCGAAGAGAATCCTATATCAGAAAACATCGATTTCGTGAATGGCATAGAGAATCAATGCTGTGAATTCCAGATTCACTTGGATTTCAATAAAAAATTAGGGGGTCGTAGTAAGCTTACGATGGTTTGGCTCGTGTGAGCTACAGAAGTGTCTCGAATTTGAGACAGTCGAGCTTTGGAAGCGTCAATGGTAGAATCCACGGTCTCTGTGATCGTTTTCTGGTACACAAGCGCCTGACGCAGTGCATCATCGATCCAGGAAGCCGCATTTTCCACCGTCGTTGTTGCGATCTTCTGATACTCCGGCGGATGCACTGGCGCAGATTGAGGAATCGCCGGCTGATTCGCGTCGTTCATCTCTGAGGATGATTCTCCCAAAGTTGTCATTAGAAAAGATCTCGCCAAAACTGCGACCTCCTTCCTTCGCTCAAGTTCTGAAGAAAACCCGGTGGATCAAAGAATGACCCGAATATAATTAATCGGGCCCTGTTTCACACTGACAGCTTAAGCCCCTGAACTCTCTATTTATTTCAAATATTCCCCCTCTATTTCTTAATTGTTCAACAAACTCCTGAGACATTTTTTAAACTTTTTTACTCTTTAGGGTGGCTAAAAACTAAACATCTTTAGTAAATCTCTTCCGAGTCGGGTTTTTTATTATTATTTTTCTTTGGTTTTAATGTGAAGTTCCGAGTCGTGTTAAGCCTCAACTATTGCACTCTTTAAATTTAGAGTTGATAAATTTAGAGTTCCGAGATCTTTTCTTTAAAACATTATATGATTATAGTATCCACTTGTGAAGGGTACAAAAAAGCTTATGCCTATAAGCTGTGTGGAAGAATACTGAAACTTTGAATGTCAAGAAACTGGAATGGTTGAGATTGATTATACTCAGGACTCAGGTAATAAACAACAAAATTAAAACATTAAACGAAACCACTGTCTAATATTATGATCACTGGCAGTCACTTAGGGTCTTTTTTGCTTCAAGCTATTATCTGTCTCATCACTTGACAAAGTAGAGCTTGCCCATGACATGAAGGACAGCGACGAAAGCTATGAAACCGATGCTCATGATAAGGACAACATTAGGGGAGATCTTGAGACCGGGTGCATCATCGGTGTAAAACTGAAGCATGGATCCTGCTGCACCACCAGAGGCACCTCCTCCACTAGCACCGCTGCCTGGCTTCCTCCTACGCATGCTTGCAGTTGCAGCTGCACTTCCTCTCTGTGGAGCACCACTTCCAACCATTATTGCTTCTCTTCTTTACAATCTGAAGATTTAGTGTAAGAAAGTTAGAAATTAACAGCTTTGGGAAAAAATACAGCAGAAAACCTAATTTATAAGTATGAAAGCACTTGCCAATTATGAATATGAAAGCAAAAGAGTGATCATATCTAGAAAAGGAGAATTAGAAAACACCCTTAAGCTATATTCCATTCTAAATAATACAAGAAACCTCCCGTAACAAAAGGCCTTGAAATTTGCATCCTAATAGAACAAGGAAAATAAGTAAACCAAACTAAACTACAATTAACACATTATTCCATTATCCGTCCAGCTAAACTCAACACAAATTCGCGTTTTAAGCCAATCCTCTAAGCTCTGGCAATCATGTTAAGACTTGATACAATCATGTTCTTATTAATGAAAGAAATAAAATAGTTCTCAAACACATAGAATCAATTGCAGCATCGGGTCTGCAATAGCATACAAGAACAGATTACATGGAAACAATGTAAAATTCTCAACAAACAACGAGTCAAATCCAAACATCGAGACCTATATAACAATGAACATGCAAAAATTCACAGATTTCACGGATGCGTATGCAACATTAAGCACGAAAAAGCAAAAATTGAATCCAGATCGAAAAATCCTAAAGCACCGAGGCTCGGATTCAGCATCGGGATCTCATTATCAGATCTACGCAGCAAACAAAGCTGATCTAAATACCTATAGATCTAGCAATTCCTCAATCATCCGAGACTTAGATCGTAAGAAAAACAACCGATAACAAAAAAAAAGACTCACCTGATCCGGCTTACAAATTCTGATGTCGATGAGATTGATACGAGACGGATTGAGAGATTTGAAGACTTTCGGGGTTGACCGGACTCTTTAACAATATTTATAGAAGGAGAAATACTCGCCACGCACCTTTTAATGTATTAGCCAATTAAACAATGCCACCTCAGCGTAATTATCGGAAACTTTTCTATAAGCGTAAGTGGGTAGAGTTTGGACTTCGGAGGTAGCTAAATTGAAGCCCGACATAAAGGCCCAAGTAAGCCCAAACTCTTTGTCCACACAACTTTGCGGACGACAGAGAAATTTAAAGGAATTTAAAAAACTGTTTGCTGAATATAATGAAGTAGGGACAGAAATAGTTGTGCGATATTAAAGGTTGATTGTGTAATCATTTACTTTATTTGTAGGTCATATGAGAAGAGATCTGAAGTGAAATGTATGATTTTACAGGCCAAAATATTATTAATTATATAACATAGTTTTTGATTCCCTAAATCAAAGGACAAAATCTAAGCCAGATAAACAAAATATCTGCCAACTAAATGCTGAGTTAGCCCCACTTCAGTACAGATTGAAGATGTTCTTGTTTTGGTTATGTTTTTTTCAACAAATAAAAAAGTTAAGAGAAAGGAAGAAAGAAAAAAGAAGTTTCTTATAGGAAGTTTGTAATAGTGAATTTAGTTGTTAACAATGGAGTAAAACAATTAATGGAGAAGCCCGAAGGAGAAAAAAACTGTGAATGATGAAAGAAGTTTCGTACGTACGTACAAAAGTACGTAGACATTAAAAGCATTTTCATCTTTCTTTCGTTAATTTAGATCTCGAAACACGAATCTCGAGATGGAGACAGATATGTGAATCAGAGAGAGAGTGTGTGTGTGTGTGTAATGATGATATTGATATCTATCGGGGCATAAGGTTATGGAAGCCTGACATTTTAGTGTACGGTCGCAGAGTCGACAAATACTGCGCGACTGTGTTTTTTACCTTTGGTACATATCGATCCATTCCAAAATCTCATTTCATTCATGTGTTTCAATCAATCAATGCTATATAATATTTATAGTAGTGACGCTCTTGTTGTTATTGAATTTATACCGAGGTGTGAGCCAGTATATATTACTACTCTCTAGCTTATAAGATATTTTTCATGCAAATAAACAAATGTACGATTCGAATGGTTCACATCTCTTACTATTTGATTTTGAAGATCAATGTTTCACACTATATTAATATACTGTTTACTCTTAAGATGACAAGGATATGTCATAAATGTGAACATGAAAAAAAATGAAGGAAAAAATAATAGTATGATGTTAAAATCTAGTAGTACTAGTATAAATAAGGTGGGGGAGAGAAAAGAATAATAATTGAATCTGAGGCAATGATGATGTAAGTAAATAATATTTTGACGGGACGAGTTTGTGTAAGAAAAAAAAAATATCAAACCGGGTCCGACCTTTTCTTTTATTTGGTGGTGCTTGCATTTATCATGAAACGAATTCGTGCGGTGGCGGTGGTTATCTCAGAATTTATTACTTGTACTTTATTTTGTCCCTCCACACTCTTTTGATCTTTTTTATTTTTTTTTAAGTTATTATTATTTGTTACCTAGAGGAAAAAATTAAATAAAGAAGATGCAAAGTTTTATCTTGTTTAACCAGGTTGTACTTGTACCCTAAAGATCAGAGACTTGTACTATTTCTTTAGTTTGAGTTGCAGTTGTCGAGCAGATTCGTTAGGACGATCGTAAATTAAAAATATATTAATTATATGCATATTAACATATTTATTTCGTTTTGTGAACAGCACGACGAAGATAGTGAAATCACACTGCTATTATTAGCCTTTTGTAATCATGACCCCTTTTTTTAATTCAACCTAAAAATAAAAATAAAATAAATCAATCAAATAGTCATTTTGTAAGGACTTTTCTTTGAAATAAAATCTATAGACCGAAATTTATGAACGATTAATGTTTGCAAATGGATAAATCCGATTCGTCAAAAACCGTTTAGTAAAAGAAAATGTAAGTGAGTAAAAGAAAGCCTCGTGATGCACGATTTGGTATATTTGGTGGTGCGAATATATATGGATGCACAGCTGATTATAATGGAAAGAAAGTGATTAGTGTGTGTGTGCGTTGTCTTTGTTGATTGAAATCTCCACCACCACCACGCGTGTGAGTGTCCTTTGTGGATGTTTCGAAAAGCTCACGACGTTTGACGAAAAATTCACACGTGTGTCTAAACAGTGACACGCGTTCAAAGCACTTGGCTGTTAAATACTATAGAAAAGAAGAAAATAACACCGATGTTTTGAGTGAGTGAGTGAGGCCTATCACCTAAAACCCTCCGGCTCCACCAGAGAGTTTTCACCGATGTTGGCTTCACATCTCTCTCTCTCTTCACCGTCTTCTACAAACTGTCGGCGGAGTTTTATTTTGGTTTACTTATATTAAATCTCAATCTCAGATTCCATTTATTTAATTTTGTAAGTTGGACTTGGTTCATTTGAAATTAATCATATCTGATATCATGTGAATAAAATATGGTGTATGTAACCAAAAGCTTAGCTGTTTCTCTTACACAATTTTGTTATTTTTTTGGTTCAGAGTTTGCATGATAATAATTAATTACTTATTTTAGTAACTTCTCTACAGCTTCCATATGACTCCAAAAACCTATGTCGATTCTCTTTTCGATAAAATTCCCATTATTATAAAATTCTCTACTATCGTTACTGTATCCTCTCACTCTTACGTGCTTTATTAAATATTACTTCAAATCGTCAACTACATTATTTCAGTGGTTAGTAATTACTGTATCATGTTTTCAACAAAGAAGATGATTCAATTGTCAAAAATCTAATACTATTGTTTGCGTTTCCAATAGAGTAAAAAGTCGAAGATGAATTCAAAATATTGTTGTGAACTGATGCTTTGGTTTTGTGTATGTTTTTTCATAACAACATGTCGGTAATAATCTTTAAAATGTACATATATAATTGTTGAAATAAGTCGTACTAATCTTTATAATGAACATAATTGTCGAATAGATATCCTTTCACTGCATATCTCAACGAACTTGATTAAATTATGATACTAAAGACTTTTGGGTTTTTGCATTCAAATAAGAATTAAATCCATATGCCTCAATTTTTTACTTTACCACCAAGTCGCTACCGTTTGGGTTGAGTTTTTTCTGTATTTAAAACAAGCAAAGGCTTTTTTAAGAACAAACTTTTTAAAAACGTTTTCTTCTTTTTCTTTTAGTAGGTGAAAAATTAAATTGCTTTATCCAGACGAAAGAGATTCCAAATCTGGGATATTGTTACGTTTCAAAATAAAACCTGAACTTTCGTAGTTGCACGAGCTATGTTTTAATACTATTGAATATTCAGTACACACACTACTACTATATAGTTACTAGCTTATAAAACATTAATATTTTTTTAGAAAAAAGAAGAGGTGAGGAAGTTACCCTACATCGGAAAGCTACTCTTCTCCATCCTACTCTTGACCACTCTCTTCTCTTCTGTTCCGTTCTGTATATAAAAAAGCCTCTCAAAACCTCTTTTCATATTCAGTTTCAGTTTCTTGAAAGAAAAAAAGACACATAAAGTCTCTCCGATCAACACATATGGATTCTTCTTCGCTAGCGATTTCTCCTAGGAAGCTCCGATCAGACCTCTACTCATACTCTTACCAAGATGACTCCAACACACCTCTCGTCATCTCTGTTCTCTCTTCTCTGATCGAGCGGACTTTAGCTCGGAACGAGAGAATCAGCCGGAGCTACGGTGGTTTTGGTAAGACACGTGTCTTCGATTGCCGGGAGATTCCTGATATGACTATTCAATCCTACCTTGAGAGGATTTTCCGCTATACCAAAGCCGGTCCATCGGTTTACGTCGTGGCTTATGTTTACATTGACCGGTTCTGTCAGAATAACCAAGGTTTCAGACTCAGTCTTACCAATGTACATCGTCTCCTCATCACAACTATCATGATCGCTTCCAAATACGTCGAAGACATGTAAGTTTATTATTACCTCCGATAACAATTTTTTATTATTTCCAATATATATAAACTTTTTTTCCTCTGTTTTGTTTGGTGAACTCACTTTGCTTTAATCTTTTTTATTCTTACAGGAATTACAGAAACTCATACTTCGCGAAAGTAGGAGGGTTAGAGACAGAAGATTTGAACAATTTGGAAATAGAGTTCTTGTTCTTGATGGGATTTAAGTTGCATGTGAATGTGAGTGTGTTCGAGAGTTACTGTTGTCATCTTGAGAGAGAAGTTAGTATCGGAGGAGGTTACCAGATTGAAAAGGCATTACGTTGCGCTGAGGAAATCAAATCTAGACAAATCGTTCAAGATCCTAAACACCATCAGTTTTCTCGAATCTTGTTGTAGTCATGAAGAACAAGAACTACTCTGCTTCTTAATTTTTTATTTTATTATTTGTCTTTTTGCTTTTGAGGAGGAGGGCCTTTTGACTTTCTGATTGCCTTGTCGGTTGGGTTTTCTTGTAATGTAAAATGTAAATAGAGAGAGAAAAATATATAGGAGATTGCTGTTGTATGTATCAGCCATGTAGATTCTTATGTATCTGTTGAATTTTAAGAAAAATGGTTTTTATTTGCAAAAAAAAAAGAAATCTTTGTTAATCTGTTGTTTTGTCATCTACTACTCTCTAAGACATGTGAACTATTAAAACTGGTTATGACAAAAAAAAATATAAAAAATAATAACAATTGGGTTTATATACATTCAAATCCATTGATTAAGATTTATGCCCGCGATTGTGAAACCTCAGAAAATACTTGTCATGCATTAGATTTGTTAAGATTGTTGTTGGTAATCCTTTAAGGGGGTCATGTTCAATTCATAAGTCATCATCAAGCAAATTGATTAATAAAGAAAAATATTATTTGCATCTAGTGACACTTTTGAAATTTTTGTTACCAGAATAGATATTTTTTCCTAGAAAAGATACGATGTTGATACTAGTACTAACAAAGAAGGCTTTTTATTGTCTCTCGGTAACTTAAGATAATCATAATATTTTATTATTTTGCATTACAACATTTTGGCTGATATGGGTAAACCTTCGCACCAACTGGTTTAGTAAGTGTCCAGAAACAATCCCTCGCCTTAATGGCATTGAGAAAAGCCGCTCTACATAATATACACAGTCAAAATATGCAGATACACTAATTCTACAGAACAAAACTAAATAAAACCAAATAAATAAATAATACTTTATGATAAAAGTAACTAAATAATATTGAACTCATGTCAGATTTTACCACGTAAACTCGTTGAATACAATCTATAATTCTCTTTAGTTAAACAACTATTGCTACGGGAGTTTTGTATCCAGAATGTTGTTTTTTCTTTAACTGTTTTTTAAAAAATAGTAGTAACTAACTTATTTATTGGATTATAAAATAATAAAGTAAATACGCTTTATCTTTTACTTATATTTTACTTTGTTTTTGCATATCTATCGGCAAATTACTTTTTTCATTTCAGAAAGTTAATCATGTGTTGCTTAAATGCACTATTTAACCAAAATAATCAATCTCTTAACCGGATGTTTATACTATTTCCAATACCAATATTGCGGTTTAGGCCTGGAAACCGAAAAAGAAAGAGAAGCGCGGTAGAAATCAAATTTACAATTGTTCTTTCCCTATGGCTGCTAATGATGATGACGATTAGGAAGCAAAATCTTTGATCATGGGGTCTATGGTTTCTAAAGCTTTTCCTTTCTCCCAATTCTTCCACACGTGTTAAGGGGACACGTTATATATATTTTTAGCTACCATATCTATTCAGTTTTGAATGAAATTAAAAAGATAGACATGGCAGCCTAGGTTAAGGTCTTTTCTGAGTTACATAATCATGTGTTCATCTTTCCGCTTAGCATCTCTAGAATCAATATCCCGAAGCTGTACAAATTTGATTTCGCGATGAGCATACACTCTGGCGACATATAGGCATTGAAAAATGAAATCAAACTTTATATTCATGCGCTTTTTATCATGTTTAAGGTCCACTACAAAATGTTTTTTTGAAAAGGTGGTAGTCTGCTTACTTACACTGTTCCGGCCAATTTACTTGTGTTAGCCTCATACTCATCTCTTGCAAAGATCCGACCCAGCCTGAAGTCAGCGATCTTCGAAGCATATCATTGTCGAGCAAACAGTCTGCAATTATTTTCAAACACGTTAACGAACTTTTTATGTGCATATATATATATATATTAACCATGCGATTAGGATTCAACGACCACCATTAATTGATATACTATTGTACAAATTTCACCATTAATAGAAATTCCAAATGACCTTACCTTGAGTTAGGGGAAAAGAAAGAATTAATCAATTAGACATAATACACATAATACATGCGTTATATATATATGTCAATTAGACAATTACATCTCTAGCTAATAATACAGATGTAATTAATTACTAACCACGATATATATTGATTATGATGAAGCTGGAGCTTGTGGTTACGGGACTGCTGTAGCACAACCTCCGTTTTCGAAGATGGTATCAGCCGGAGGTGCTTCGTTGTTTAAGTCAGGGATAGGATGTGGCGCATGTTACCAGGTTACTAATTACACTTAATCAAGCAGAAGAGATTTAAAAATTAGTGAAAGATTAGCTTATACATACTGATATATGTGTACTACTGATGTGTTTACGTATAGATAAAATGTACTTCGAAATCGGAGTGCTCAGAAAATCCGGTTACGGTAGTGATGACAGACGACGAATGTCGTGATGGATGCGAGACAGAATCGGTCCATTTCGATCTGAGTGGTACAGCGTTTGGTGCCATGGCCATTTCTGGTCAAAGTAGTCAGCGGAGTTTTGGAGATTCTTTACAGAAAGTATGTATATAACTTATATAAGGATTTCACATTAACACATTATATACACTTTTTTTTTTTAATGACAACAAAGGATAAAGATATTGAGATGATATTGATAGTTTTTTTCGTTGTGTTCCATTGATGTGTGTGTAGAGTTGAGTGCAACTATTTTGGGGAAACGATGACGTTTCAGGTGGTTGGAGGGTTAAACCCTTACCACTTCGAGGCTTTGGTTGCGTATGGAGACGGCGAAATTGGTGGAGTCGAACTCAAACAAGCTCTAGATTCTGACACGTGGATGTCTATGAGCCGTTTATGGGGGGCCGTGTGGAAGCTAGACGTGTCGGCACCTTTGAGGGCACCGCTGTCTCTCCGAGTGACTTCGCTGGAGTCTGGCAAGACTGTTGTGGCTACCGATGTCATTCCGGCCGGCTGGGAACCCGGTGCGAAGTACAAATCCAATATGAACTTTCAAGTGTAGCAGCTGGAACTATATATATGCATTATACAATATCGTATAAATGATGTCTAGCTTACCAGTTTTTAAAAGAATAAAATAAATGATATCGCTTACTTGGCGGCTTTGCTTCCCTCTTTTGGGTTAATGTTTCTGCAGACATTTCATGTAACTTTTGGGTTAATGTAATTTCAACTTGTTAATTTGTATTTGTATCTTCCTCCCTTGGTTTATAATATATTAAAATTTAGATGACAAAGAATGTATTTCTTATTTATTACTTCTCGAACTTTCATTTTCCTTTTCACTTATCCCTAGCGTAAACAAATATATTAATCCATGTTCAGAAACCACCTATTTGCATAAGTTCTCCAAGTTTGATAAGTTAAAATTAACGGAATACTTATAGAAAATTGGATTCTATTTTTATATAATGATAATATGAATAATTGGAATGGACATATCATCATAATATTCTTTCCTCCTTTTTATCATCATACAAGTAATACACAAAAAACATGGTTTTAGTGAGGGTAGTTTATTGCATGTGCTGTGTATCTAAATTAAGTGCATTGACTTGATAGTCCTGTTAGGCTACACCGGGCTGGTCTAGTGAGATTTTGTTCTCATCATCTAAAGCTATTATTTCGTGGACCTTGACGTTTTTATTTTATGATAAAAGAAATTAATTTGATTTCAGTAAATCGTCGTGACAAACCTGATTCATGCCAAGTTTTACGGTTCGACAGTCTGCAATTATTTTCAAACACGTTAAAAAACTTTTTTTAATTGCATGTTTTCAACCTTGCGATTAGAATTCAACGACCAAGCAAACCACCATTAACGGCTACATTAACGTACAAATTTCACCATCAATATAATTCCAAATGACCTTGATTTAGGGGAAAAAGTATGAATTATTATCGCAATACGACACCATATGACTCAGCCTCGTAAACTATATATGGGTTTCTAACTGTTAACCGTCACACTGGACCCCCCCTTGCTAGTAAAACCAAAAAAAAAAACAAAACAGAAAGGCATGACTTCACGTGTCTTATAGTACTTCTTTTAAGACAAAGTGACATATGGATTAAAAAAGTTGGGCGTATTAGGAGTCTTTCACGGGATTCGATCAATCTATAATTACTATAAGTACGTAGCACAAGTCATCCTCATTAGCAACTTATTATTAGTTATCACCCCAATGGCAATTCTTGTTGTAGAACGAGGTTACATGATCGTGAACTTACTCTTTGCTCTAACTTGTCTTCTCTTAAACTTAACTCATTGCTTTAGCCCCAAGAGACTCAACGTTTCAGCCGTCTCAGCCAGCGATTCTGATTGGTCTATCGCCGGAGCTACGTGGTATGGCAACCCCAACGGATACGGAAGCGATGGTATATACATGTGTTCTTTCGTCAATTACACCTTAAACAAGCAACTAACTAGTATACAATTAACTAATGACCAAAATATAATGATTCATCATGAACTAGGTGGAGCTTGTGGTTATGGAACTGCTGTAGCAGAACCACCGTTTTCGAACATGGTATCAGCCGGAGGTGCTTCGTTGTTCAAGTCAGGGAAAGGATGTGGTGCATGTTACCAGGTTAGTAGGTTACTAACTGCAATTATAGTAAATTTAAAATTTAGCTTATACACTGATATATGAGAGTATACGTACAGATAAAATGCAGTTCGAAATCAGAGTGTTCAAAAAAGCCGGTTACGGTAGTGATTACAGACGAATGTCCTGGATGCGTTACAGAGTCGGTCCATTTCGATTTGAGTGGTACAGCTTTTGGTGCCATGGCGATTTCTGGTCAAGGTAGTCAGCTTCGCGGTGCCGGAGTTTTGGAGATTCTTTACAGAAAGTATGTATCTAAGGATTTGACGTTAACAATTTTTTATATATATATATATTTAATGATTACGAAGGTTATGAAATTAACTTGTTATTTTGGTTGATGTGTGATTGTAGAGTTGAGTGCAACTATATAGGCAAAACGGTAACGTTTAAAGTGGATGACGGTTCAAACGCTAACTACTTCGCGGCTTTGGTAGAGTATGAAGACGGAGACGGCGAAATTGGCCGAGTCGAACTCAAACAAGCTTTAGATTCTGACAAGTGGATGTCTATGAGCCACTTATGGGGCGCCGTGTGGAAGCTGGACGTGTCGTCGCCTTTGAGGGCACCGCTGTCTCTCCGAGTGACTTCGCTGGACTCCGGCGAGACTGTTGTGGCTACCGATGTCATTCCGGCAGACTGGCAACCCGGCGCCAAGTACAAATCGAACGTGAACTTTCAAGTGTAGCTGCAGCTGAAACTAGTTTAATTATACGATCTATACTATATATATAAATGATATATTTTCTTACCAGTTTAAAAATAATAAATGATATCTCTTTAGTAAAGAAATGTTTCGATCCCGTATGGTGGGTAGTGTGTACAATACTATTGATCTACTCTTTGAAAAACAAAAGTACAAAAATAAAATAAAGGAAACCTAACAAATTAAAAGGAAAAAAACCAAACCGAACATTTCCTTTTTTAGTTTTTCTTTTGAAAAAAACAAACCACTTCATCATGAGAAATCAGAAACCAAGCAGTGGCCTCACGCATTTTCTTCTTCTTCCTTCAGGAATCAGAATTCTCTGTTCTCATTCTTGTTCGAGGAAAAAAAAAACAAAACCAACAAAACCTAATCCTCTTTATCTTTTTGTCTTTTTGTAATAAAACAAGCACTCTTTCTCGATACAGAGGAATCGATCACCGATGATGATCCATGTAAAAACTCGACACTGAAGTAAATGAAGTCGAAGATGATCGATCTCAGCAACAAAAAACTTCTCATCCGTAAGTTTTGTGATTGATCATCTCCATCCTCTGTTTTGATATCAGTTCGTCTCTACCCCTAACCCTAAACCTAATTAATAATATTTCACGGCCGGTAAAACAAGGAGGAATAAGGAAGGTGAAATCGAAGCAGCTAAAGAAGGTTCCATGGTTTCAGACTAGCTACCTAAAGAGAATCATTCGCCAGAGAGAGGATGAACAACATCTCCCAGAACAAATCTGCCCGTTTCCTCGACAAGAAAATCTGTGACACCTTATCAACTACCTACACAAAAAAGGCGTAGACAAGGTGCAGAGAAGGCTAGCATCTCGGCCTTGTAAATGGGCTACTCGTTACCATAGTCCAACAAGGTATTATTTTTTTATTTTATTTTTGTGAATACAAGGTATTTTTTTAATTTGTTTTCTCTTTTATTTTACCGGAAAAGTGCAAAACGTAAAAATTTTAATAAAAACAAGAGAAGAAACCAAAGTATATTTTTCGTTTTTGACCAATCAAACTTTTTTTCAATCTCAAATGTTTTATTTTTGAATTTTACGACGTCGGTAACAAACCGAGATTAGGCATTTATTCCGTAAAACATTTTTTAGTCCGTAAATTTGCTATTATAAATTTACTTATACTTAAAAGTTATTTTTCTATTTTTTTTTGCAAAATAGTGTTTTAAATATGTTTTTTTGATTAAAAAAAATGTTTTCAATTTCAGATTCATTTAGGTGTTAAATTTTTGTAAACTGAAACAAATAGAGCTTAGGCATCTAATCCATAAAATATCTTTTGGTCCATCAATTTTGGCCTTAGAATAGGCCGAGCGAGGTTCAACATGTTTTGAATTAAAATTAATTTAACATTTAAATTATTTTTTTATTTTTAACTAAAATTTCTATTTTTCAATCGAATATGTATGTTTGGTTTCACATATAGACGTAAAATATTCAATAGCATCATATTAACTTGTTTCAATATTCCATACTTCTAATAGTGTGGGCTTTTCTGTTCGGATAATAAACCATAAGTTATTTTTGCTTTTTTGACGGAAAAAAAAAGTTATTTGTGCTTGCTGCTAACTTAATTATATTAATTTTTCACCAAAACTTTTAGTCAATAGTCAAACTTAAAAAAATAATTCATATTTATCAGTTTTAGAAAATTGGTGCTAGGAAATGACATGATATACTGAGGAGTTATTATATGTTGACCCAAAAAAAAATGATGTTATGCATTACCAAATTAAAAATATATTTTAGAAGTTAATAAATTATTATCAACTTAATATTTCAACTTGACTAACAATTTGTCTTAACATATTTGTTTTTCTTATATGCATTTCTTATTTAAACTTAAGTCTTACTCTCTAAATTTCATAGAAAGCTTGACTGCCATAAATACCAAGATTCACTTTTAACTATCTTGCTAATATATATCCATTATAAAACCTTTGCCCTGTAATGGAATCAAATTCACTAAGACTTATAAGAACTTGTTTAAATAAACAAAGTAGCTATATCAATGGCATTATCACATAAAAATTTCGTTCTTTTGGCTCTTTTCGTAGTCTCCCTAAAGTTTTGTTATTGTCAAAATGAGACTATAGATGTTGCGGGATGGGGGGCCGCTGGAGTTACTTGGTATGGTGAACCTGACGGCGCCGGTAGCACTGGTACTTAATAATATTAAATTACATATTTTATATTTGTAACAGCATAAATATCTAATTTCTGAATAATAATGTATTTGTATATGATGCTTTAAATATATGTGTAGGAGGAGCTTGTGGGTACGGTTTCGCGGTTGTTAATCCACCGTTATACGCCATGGTTTCAGCCGGAGGCCCTTCACTGTTCAACAGTGGATCAGGATGTGGAACATGTTATAAGGTTCGTATATATGAATATATATATATATATGATAAGAGCAATAGTAATATATGTAGCATAGAAGTAATGTCTATCTAGTCCGCTGAATTAATGTTTTTAAGGTAATGTATGGTTACAAAATGAACATTAAATATTGGTTGTGGTCACACTGCATTTGTTTTGGAAACAAAACATGAAAGTCTGAAAGTATATAATATGGTTACATTAATATTTAATGTTAATTTTTTCAATATATAGATTGCGTGCAGCGGGAATCCTGCATGCTCGGGGAAACCTATAACGGTGACGATAACCGACGAATGTCCCGGCGGTCCTTGCACCTCCGAACCAACCCACTTTGATCTTAGCGGCAGAGCCATGGGTGCCTTAGCCAGACCTGGCCAAGCCGACCGACTTCGATCTGCTGGTGTTCTACGTGTTTACTACAAACGGTATACACATATATGATATATGTCCAAGTATTTTGTTATTTAGCTATTTATGTATATATATATATGATAAACCGATCAAATTTATGACTCTTGCTCTCTTAATTAATAGAGCGGCATGTTTATATGGAGGAACTAATATAGCTTTCCGTATGGACGCGGGAGCAAATCCGTTTTACATAGCATTTCTTGTCGAGTATGAAAATGGTGATGGAGACTTGGCGTCCGTTGAGATTCAACCGGCCGGCGGGAGATTCCTCCGCATGCAAGAAATGAGATCGGCCGTATGGAAGGTCAACTCTGGCAGTGCTCTAAGAGGTCCATTCAACATCAGACTTACCTCTGGTGAGTCTCATAAAGTAGTCGTTGCTTATAATGTCATTCCGGCAAACTGGAGACCCGACGTAACATACCGTTCAATTGTTAACTTTCATTAGGATATTTCTTTGTCACATTGTAATTCAACGCATTTCTTTGTTTTCGCTAGTCATAATACAATATAAAGAAAACTTATAATATAAAGGTATGGATAATTAAAAGACATATGACTTATCAATATGTTCCCATATATCATATTTGCTACCCTTCCTTTTATTAATTAGCTAGGGCTCTATTTAACAAAATAAATTATTTTACCAACCAATAATCAATATGATATATAATAATTTTACTTACCTTATCCTGAATAATGGAGCTGGTCTTTTTGAAAGAGTAATTATCAAGTTGGTTAAGAGGTATTGAATGAATATGACAACAAATTGAAGAAAAGCGTGAAAGGTATTTACGAAAGACCAAATCCATCAACTTATCTCTGCAGCTAGAGTGCATACTAAAAAGATATGAAAGCAAAATTAGAATACTCAGACTAATTATTTGACTAGAATTTATTTGTTCCCGTTTCCAAATAGCCTCAAGATTTATATGTTTTTAAAAAAAAAAAAAAAAAAAAAAAAAAGCCTCAAGATTTAAATCATAATTCTACATTATAATGTTTTGATACAAATTAGACTTTCCGCCATTAAAATTTGGTCTTGTATATAGTCATATAAAGAAAATACTATCAAACCAGTCTCTACTTCCCATATACAAACAGATACATCAGTTCGAGTCAAACTATCATAAAAAAATTAAGAGATTACCATATTCTTTCTTTCTTTTCTTTCCGTGAAGAGAGATTAGCATATTCACTTCGAGTTATTAAAGTCGTATTGATCACTGTCTCTAATGGGCCTATAGATGAAAGGGCTTTTCTTATGCAAGTTGAGAAGCATCGAATGGTACAATATGAAATATAAAGGTCAAACGAATAATGTAAATTAAACTCGTCGTAGTAACGTATTTGGATGACAAAAACAGACTCATAACATCAAATGCTCACGCCGCTTTTCAGGCGACTTGGAGAAACCGGCCATACTTGTCACTTCATTGGCAACTTTTAAAAGTTTATTCAACTTTTTCATTTTAGTTGACTTATTATCAAATATTTATGAAAACATATATATGTAATGTGCCTACGTGATCTATATTGCAATTATGTTTTTATGTAAATTCTACGCCTCTTGTTAGTTGACTTCATCAAAAGTATTGCTACTTCAATTCATTCATCGACCAGTTTTGATTAACTTATATGTGTAAAATAAAGCTACGACCATATAAACACATATCACATATGCTTGCATTTGCATATACTAGTATACTACTTAGTTAACAACGAGATGAGTCAACGGAGGTATTAAAAGATTTATGAGTTTTTTTTGTTTGGCCCTTTAAGAGAGAGAGCGGCGTAAGTTGTTTGGCACCACCATTAAGTCATGCCATTGAAGATGGAATAATCGTAACTTTACACTTTGCGTAGACGAATTGCTTCCACAAAATTTGGTTTTTTTTTTAAAGATTTCCAAATTCCATTCACTAAGGGGAAAAAAAATAAAAGTCTTTGTGTGTCGTTAAATTACCTTCCTACTTAAGTTGTTTGAATGCATTTGTAACCGACAAATTTTGTGGAACGTTGAACTTTAATTAATTAGTTTTAAGTATGTATTTGTGATTATGTCTTATTACTACTTATTGTTGTTATAATGTACTAAAGACTAGTAAAACTCCTAGTTGAACAAGTTATTCTTTTGCACTTATGGATGATTTGAATCTTGGAGTGATCATGTTCGAGATGAATTGAAAAAGATCACATGATCGATGTGGCCATCCTTGATCACGTTTAATACGGACAGTGTTACAGAAGAAAAGTGCGATGATCGATGGTTAGGTCCGTATTAAACCGAAGCCATCAATTTTAGTAGGTCCAAAGTTAAATGCGTTTGTAGGCTTAAACAATTAACCTTTTTCTTGGTTACCTTCGAGACTATGCATGCAAAACACTTTGACAAAAAAAACAACAACTAAGCGCTTCATATATATCGTTTAATCCAAAATCCAATATCCAATTAACCTTCAACTTAAGTTGATGTATCTAAAATATACTTAAGTGGGTTAGTTGTTGTTTTGTTGAACAAGAACGAACGTGTGTGGCAGTGTTACTGATAAACGAAACTTATGGACTCTTGACTTTTTCTCATTATTATTAGTGTCTAACTTGGAAAGATCCAAAATCCCCTAACACGTACATTCTTTTCATTTTATTTTGGGAATTCCTAATCGTAGAGTGATTAGTGGACTTAAAACTAAGATTAGATAAATGAAATGCTAAAAGCCGGCTTTTAAAACTCTAGCTAAAGGAGATTGGAGATACCGTCGTCACTGACAGTTGGCGAAACCTATCAAAAAGAGAAGATGGCGCAAAGCAGAAAATCTCAAACTTAGAGAGAGAGATAAAAGTTACTGGTGGGTGATGGATAGTCAAGAAACCGTCGTTTTGAATAACTACGTGGCTGTCACAAACTGAAACCCAAACAAACAAAAAAGAAAAATCACAGCCCATCAAATATTTATGTTAACATATGATTCTCCCCCTCAGTTTTTGGACAACGCTTTGTTCTCCGACTCGTCGTTACACAACAAAAATGTTAAAAAAATAAATTGAAGTACCGAAAATACCCTTCGGAGATGTTTAAGGTAAATGAATATTTGTTTTTTGGGCGCATTGGGAATTAAAGTTCACCGCCTGAAATAGACATTTGCTTCTGATATTTCGTTTCGTGGTGTTTCAAAAATAGAAGTTTTGCTATTTTTAATCCTATCTATCAGAAGGGTTTTTTCGGTAAATCAATGTAACTTTTTTTTTTTTTGGTTGTTTTAGCAGAAACGGGCAAAGCTCGCATGTTACATTGTCCTTTCGTCACCCTTTCATGTCAAAACGCTTTAATTAGATTTATTATTTCAAACAAACCAAAAAAAATAACAAAATTTACTCTTTTCCGTTTCAAACCATTTTATAAATATAGAAGAGAGAGAGAGAAGAATGGGAGTTAAAAAATAAAAAATTAAAATTAAATAATAAGAATTTTAAATTGAATAGTTTTTTTATATTTCTTTCTTTCTTAGTCTTCTTCTTTAGTTCGTTGGTTGCATTGCAGAAGAAGAATGCTTTTGTCACCTACTCTCCTTTTCTAGTTTCTCTACTCTCTCTTCCTCTCTTTGTCTTTATCTCTTTCCCTCTCTCTCTTCTGTTGAAGATGGAGAGGTACAAGTGTCGATTTTGCTTCAAGAGCTTTATCAATGGCAAAGCTCTAGGTGGTCACATGAGATCTCACATGCTTACTCTTTCCGCAAAACCTCAACTTTATGAATCTACTCGTGAGCAAGAAGAAGAGGAAGAGGAGGAGGAGGAGCGGCGGACGAGCCAACTCAGTGACGACGGCACCGAGTCGGATGCTTCTTCTTCGTATGATGGGTTTGATCATTTAAAGAGGAATCGTACTCAGATGGTTGATGACGGTGGGCTGGAGTTTGATTTCGCGGAGGACGACGACGTTGAAAGCGAAACCGAGTCATCCAGGATTAATCCTACTCGGCGACGATCTAAGCGGACTCGGAAACTTGGATCGTTCGATTTCGACTATAAGGAGTTGAAAACGAGCCAACCCGGTGAGTTAGCGACCGAGCCAGAGCATCACAGCTCAGCTTCTGATACAACCACGGAGCAAGATCTCGCCTTTTGTCTCATTATGCTCTCTAGAGACAAATGGAAGCAACACAAGAAGAAGACAAAGCAGAGCGTAGAAGAAGAAGAAGAGTATGAGACAGATCATGAATGTGGTGAAGATTACAAATCGAGCAAGAACAGAGGAGGAAGAGGTCGATTCAAGTGCGATACTTGTGGTAAAGTTTTTAAATCGTATCAAGCATTAGGAGGACACAGAGCAAGCCACAAGAAGAACAAGGCATGCACGACGAAAACAGAGCAAGTTAAAACAGAGTACGTTCATGGAGTCGCGGAGAAGAAGAAAGCTCATGAATGTCCGATCTGTTTTAGGGTTTTCACTTCAGGACAAGCACTTGGAGGTCATAAGAGATCTCACGGAAGCAGCATCGGAGCAGGAAGATTGTCTGTAAATCAAATTGTTCTAATAAATCAAGAAGAAGAAGAGGAAGAAGAAGATGAAGAAGAAGTATCAATGAAACAGAGGATGATTGATCTGAATCTTCCTGCACCTAATGAAGAAGATGAAACCTCTTTGGTGTTCGACGAATGGTGAAAACGAAAAGTAACAGACTTTGCGTGATTCGGGTTGTCAACAAATTTTAAATCTTTTTTTTTTTCTCGATTATACTTATTATTCTTTGTTTTTGGGTTTTTGTTTTGTTTGGGGGAGTTTTGATCGAACTAAATCAAAAGGAGGCTACTTTTACATGTTCTAACGCCAAGTTGTTTCAGTACTAGCCTCACGTCGTGTTGGCCTAAATCAGAGAGAGCATTGAATGAATTTTTCATTAGTGAATAGTAGAAGCATTGTGATCTCTTTTTTTTTTTGTTAGACTTAATTTTAAAGGTAATCAAAGTTTATATCAAATTCTTTGGTTTCTTTCGCAATTTGAGGAATTACTGTTTAAATTTAGAAGCTAGAGAACTAAAGAGTGCCCACTTCGTCTATCTCTTTCGCCTACTATTAGGGGGAAAAATAAAGAAAGTCAAATCTAAAAAGAGAAGAAGAAAAAAAAAAAAAAAAAACCTTTATCGTTCGATGCTCTTATTTTTAGTTTCTATATCATTTTCACTGTAGAATCAAATGTGGCCTTTGGGTTTGGGTTTTGAGCAATACTACTACCTACTTAGAATTATTCTTCACGTATACTTTATTCTTTACTTATGATTGGAAACAAACCCAATGACTAAGGTTCATCATAATATATATCACCACTCAAGACTCAGTAGATATCAACAAAGTTGTGATTCGAAGTTGTTTGTGATAGTTCAACTAGTCTTATCACGCAATCTGGTGGCTACTTACTAGGATTTAAATGTTTACAAATTACACTCACTGATCTATTTTTTTTGCTCGGTGGCTAATCACTTGGATATTCGTGTTAACAAAGAATTAATAATCTATATATGTTTTATTAAAATTGTGATTCAAGAGTATTTTCTCTTCTCTTGAATTTTTGTTTGGGATAATTTTCAAGAGTTTTTAATATTTTTGAATTGTGTGACAGTAGTGTAAGGAATGTATTTTAGGCAAAAATATATGAACAAAACTCTCGAACATCTCTCAAAATATATATATATATATATATATTTGAAACAAAGAGAGAGCAAGTAGTAAACAAAATTTATGAACCAAACTCATAAACAGAACAAAAACACCATAAGACAGACAAATAGGCTTTTGTCTTATGGACTCTGTTGATGCTAGATTTGTTGTATTTTGGGCCTTGAAACAACGAGTTACAGTAAATGGGTATTGTACTAACCCTTTTTTTTTTGTTGTTGTTTGCTATAAGAAACCAAACCACCAGATGCTTGATTCTCTTGGAATCTTTGAATTCTCTTCGTCTACATGAAGATCTTGTTAACTCCCAATATAACCCTGAATTGTGGTCACGGGTCAGGGTCATTTTGGTCAGTTTCACTCTTAAATCTCACAAACGTCCCGGCAATGTCTTCCTTTCTTTCTGCACGACGGTCTCTTTCTCGAGAGAGAGAGAGAGTACGCGGCTCTCACAGTCACATCAACAGCATGCATATTATTTGTTTTCTAAACAAAACAATATAAAAGAAAAAAAACAATATGGAAAAATAGTTGATCGAGGAGGAATCAACCTAAATTCTATAGTTTATACCTCCTTTGAAAAAAAGAAGATAGCATGAAATCAGCAAAACACATGTAATATACCAAACATACCATAAAAGGTCCGGTCAAATTAATAGAAAACCCCCAAACATAATTATAAAAATGTTCAAACATAAGACTCAAAGAGAAGTTTATAGACCGAATATGCCGAGGATTTTTAATCTCTTTTTATTTTTTCTGCAACAACAACAACAACAAAGAATAGTAAATCTAACCTTTTATTTTTTATTTTATTTTTCTCCATTTCCATCCCTATTTATTATTACATGCCACATTCACAAATCACAACACTTCGTCACGCCAAAGCTAAGCATATCCTCTTTCATATTCTTTTACACAAACCACTATTTATATATCTCTATACTACCCTCTTCCTTCTTCCTCCTATCATCTTTCATTTTATAATTCATTTCTCTCCCTAATCTTAAGAAAGAATAAAATTTAAAAAAATAAGGAATTCGAGCTTGATGAAGTTCGGGAAGAGGATTAAAGAACAGATACAAGAGTCGTTGCCTGAGTGGCGAGACAAGTTTCTCCGTTACAAGGAACTCAAGAATCTGATCTCTTCTCCGGCTCCCCTTGAATCTATTTTTCTTGCTTTGTTGAACGCAGAGATCGATAAGTTTAATGCTTTCTTCGTCGAACAAGAAGAAGATTTCATCATCCACCACAAGGTAATTATTATTATCAAAAAAAAAAAAACAGAGAGGGTTATACAGTTCTTATCGAGTTTACCTAGTCAACTGATCTAACTACAAAAAAATGTCGGAGAAAATAAATTGTTTTTTTTATTGGTTGATAAATGTGAAATCGATCTGAGGAAATTTTCAGTAGAGTGAAATTTAATTAATTTTGTCAATATAAAAAACAAAAACTGGTGGATTTATTTTACAAAAGTAAGACATAAAAAAATCATCCACCTAGATTTGTATGAAACTAAAAATAATATATTTCATCATTGGATGATTATGTGTGTTATCTGGAGAATTTTATAATGTATATTTTGTGGAAGTTTCTTTACATATTATAACAATACATGTGAGATCAATATTTGAATAGAGTGGGATTTGGTTATAGCTGTGATAATATGAAAGACAATATGGCAGGAATTACAATATAGGATTCAGAGATTGGTTGAGAAATGTGGAGACAATAATGAAATGTTTAGAGAGGAGATCGGAGAGATCAGAAAGGATATTGTCAATTTCCATGGAGAAATGGTTCTTCTAGTCAACTACAGTAACATCAATTACACTGGTGAGTGAGTTTTACCAAATACAGTATTTCAAGAAATAAAAAACAAAACAATGAAATGTTCAAAATAATCTTGATCGGAGAGAAACAAATCTATGATATAACAGGATTAGCAAAGATATTAAAGAAGTACGACAAGAGAACACGAGGAGGAATAAGATCGCCCTTTATTCAAAAGGTTCTTCATCAACCTTTTTTCAAGACTGATCTTGTTTCAAGACTGGTGAGAGAGTGGGAGACGACGATGGACGCGGTGTTTCCAGCGACGGTGGCGGAGGCGGAGGGGTACGAGAGGTCTGCGGCGGTGACCTCGGCAGCGGCGGGAGAAGGTATATTTAGGAATACGGTAGCGGCATTGTTGACAATGAGAGAGATGAGAAGAGGGAGCTCGACTTATAGTGCATTCTCACTTCCGCCACTAAATATCTCCGACACCGATCTTGTTCAGTTCTCTTCTCCCATACCTATTCTTTGAAGTTCCGACTTGTTGTCACTCTATCAGCTGAATTTGGATTATTGCGATATTTATCCATGAGCAGATTATTTTACTTTATTATACTACTTGTAGTTTTTTCGGCTAGTAATTGGGCCAATTGTTTCTATAATGGGCCGCATCTAACAGACAGACCCATATTGTACACATAGACGGGTCGAAGATAATAAAATGGGAATTTTCAATGATTCCATTTCCATTACTTTTAACCAACCCGATTTGGTCTTCTCCTTGAGAGTGTTAACTGTTAAGAGTAAATCAGGGGATAATCACGAGCATTCAGATCATTGTGTGGCAGAGCAGATCAAATTTTTACAAAAGATGGCTACTCAGACTTTCCCTCATTGGTCTTCTCCTTTGTCCTCTAAACCCTAAATCCCCAATTTCATCATGATGGACATGTTTTCCTTCCTTGGCTCTGCACGTGATAAGATTGTCGAGACATATCAAGGCAAGTCCCACTGATTCGAGATAATGAGAGAGAGAGATATTGATTGATTGATAGTTAACATCCATATATCTGTGGATTCGATTTCTCTTTTGCAGATTTGGGGTACTTCGAACGCGATGAAATCAGTAATATCAAAGCAAAATACATCCCGGGCCTTGAAATACAGTTGGCATCAGAGTATTCGAAGGAGTTTGCCTACAACTCTATCAAATCTACTCGTTTCGATGAAAGGGTGCGTGATCTAACTTTTAAGAGATTTTGCTGACTTGCATGTTGGTTTACTCGTCATACTCGTTATTGGTGTAGATTGGGATTTTATATAGGCTAACCTATGGTGAGATAGGAGCTAGTTTGATCTGCAAACCCTATCCTATTGCTCAGATTAGTGGTCGTTTGAGACTCTATGGTCGCCTCTCTGGTTTGGAACTTAATTCCACGAGTATTGTTGACATTTACGGACATAAGCTCGATCAGTGGAATGTCGGGTGCACTATGATTGCAGGGAACATGTCAGCACAGCTGAAACGGTTAGTTGACTAAACAGTTTAATGAATACTAAGAGCCTATATATGTATATGTATAATAAGCATTGCGTGTGATTCAAGAATATATTTCCCTTTTTGCAGAGAGGCAGATAAAATCGTCGTGTCAACCCGCCATCGCATTCACCCCAGATTTGTGTCTCTCACTGAGTTCACTTCACCGTTTTTGATGTCCTTGCCTCACAGGACAACTTTGGCAATGGGATTCGAGTTCGACCTTAACCCTAGGGCAACTCTTGAAGTGATGGTCTTTCATCATCAACCTACGACTTTTGCACTCCAGTATCAATGGGATCAGTGTCTCGTTAGATTTTACAGTGACGTCTACTCCCAAAAAACTGGTGTATCTTTTTCATTTCGTCCTTCTTCATTCTTCTAGTTGATAAGAGTTTCTTCTCTGTAATAGTTGATAACAAACAACTAGAGAGTCTCATACTACAAGTTGGTGATCAAAATTCACCAAAAGGTATATGGGAAACAATCACAGCAAGATATCTTAGAACAAATAAAGTTAAAGAGGCTCCTATATTTCCCAGTTCAAACAATTGTAGATGAAATCAATATCTTGGCAGAGAAGTTATTGGAACTAGCCTTAAAATCTGCAACCCCAGGTCAAACAATTGAAGTAGAGCATGTCTTCAGAGAAAAACAATGTGTGAACATACTAACGAAAGCATTAGAAAGGATATTTGTAGAGGGACTTCAAATTTATCAAACAATCAAAGGGAGTTTAGTTGGAATTCAAGACCTCTCAGAAAACGAGTTTAAAGTTTAAAAAGAAGAAAGAATGTATCGTAACTTACATTCAAAGAAAAATATGTATCCATAATAGGATTAGCAAATATCTCTGATACCGATCTTGTTCAGCTCTCTTCTCCCATACGTATTCTTTGTGATAGAAGAAGAAGAAGAAAGTATAATCAGCTGAATTATATAACGCGGGAAATGTCATTATCGCGATATTTAATGAGCAGACAGATTATTTTACTTTTAACTACTTGTAGTTTTGGGCTAGTAATTGGGCCAATGGTTTCCATAATGGGCCGCATCTAGCAGATAGACATGGATTGATTGATTGATTGTTAACATCCATATCTCTGAATTCGATTTCTCCTTTCCAGATTTTGGGTACTCTGTTATGCTAGGGATCCTAAAACCAACTTAAAAAATAAAAAAAAATCCCCGGCCAGGGGCAAGGATCGGTATCAAAGAATTTTGAGGAGTCGAGTGTTTCATCTCCACCAGAGCGGGTCAGAATCAACTGGTTTTGATCTTGATCAATTAGGATACGGTTTTTCATAGAGTAACTTGACTTATGCGTTTTCATTTGCTCCTCAAATTGCGTGTCTGGCTATACTTTCGAATCAATCCGGTTATGTATATATGGCTAAATTGAATTGAAAATTCATCCTAAAATTGTGATCTTTTCCAGCTATTAGGCTTTGGCATGTGTGTCCATAAGCTGTGCAAGACTTTCTTTCTTTTTTTTTTTTGCTTATCAGAACTTGTGGGTTCTCGCAGACATGACGGAGCCAGTTATAGATAATAAGTGCAGTAAGTGCTTATCAGACTCTTCTCCGCTAGTTGTCGCCAGAGCTTGCGACCACAAATTCTGCGGTAGTTTCTTCTTTATTCTTAACAACTAATGTGAGAAGTGAACAATCAGGGGTCTTAGCTTTGTCTTATTTTTGAAGCTGCTAGCTCTTTTACAACTTAAACCTTGGCCTCATTTTGTATGCTCTTCTGAGACCCATTTGTGTTGATATTAATTGGCTTTAAACTTGTTTTTTTTGTTTTGTTTTTTCTTAATTGTTGTAACAGTGAATTGCATCATAATCCTCTGGTCCCGCCAGAAACTTACGGAACCTTGTGTATGTCCCGTTGATGGAGAAAAGATTGTCCGGTTAGGTCTTCCTATGATTCATACAGCTGAGGAGATTTGGGCCCTTGTCGACGTTTATAATCCTTTGTTCAATCAAAAGCATGTCCCGGTAAACTTCCTTTTCTTTTTTTCTTATAGATAATCAGTTCACCTCATTAATCAAGAGCATCTCTGTTATCTCTGCTTATGAACATATTGTTGTTTTGCTTTTAACTCATTTTTAGGGCATTGCTGAGAGACAACTTGGTAATTTTCTTGATCTATTCTCTATATATGTATGCATGTTTTTGGACTTTTATCTGCTCTTTCTTTTGTTGAACCCAACTCTTTTAGTTACACGTTTTTTTGTTTGTGTAGAGCGTTTTTTGACACGTATGTATTGTGTCCATGTGGCTCTTATAGCCATGGGAGCAATGGCTTATTACATGAAGAAGGGATAAAGTGGATGGAGCAAATGTTATAACACGATTGAGGAGTATGTATGGAACGATGAACGAGCATGTATGGATTGTGCCTTAGAACAACCTTTTCTTTATATAAAATGGGAATCCGCAGCTTGTAGGGTTCTCGTGGAACCTCTGAATTGGCGTGTAGTAGTTGCCATTATGAGGATCTAATTAGTTGCCGTTTTATACTCTAAATTCTGGTAACGGATCTGGGTCATTTTGGTCACTGTTAATCTCTAGTCTAACATCAAAAAGCAACAAAGTAGTAGATAAAGGGATGAAGCCAAATTCCCGAGTTGATATCTTGATCCATAGTGCTTTCTCACTTAATTACAGGCAGCTGCTACATAGTTCTCTCTTTTCTGTCCATGTCTCTTCTCCGACATCCATTCCTTTTAACGAACTCAGAGAAGTGATTAGAGAGAAAAAAGCCAAAAATCAATGTTCCTTTTTCTTTTTTTAAATGACAGTTATGCCCCTGATCTCGCACTTTAGTCAAACGAACAAGGGCAATAATAATATAGTTAAGAAGTGAGTCTTTCATACGGTCTAAATTATTTTTAAGGTGACGGCAAGAGAGAGAAAAAGTCATACGCATACGATGCTGACTTGCTGTCCCCACGTTGTTTCTCTGTTTTGGTCGGTCTTGTTGTTTACGTGATTACTCTCTCTCTCTCTCCTCCATCGACGACGACCACCGGCGAACAGAGCCACCGTACCTAAAACTTCATTTGTTTCATTTCTTTTTCTTAATTAATCAATTGAATCGGGAATAAAACACCTCCCGCGATCTCATCAGGATGAGTAACGAGCTTCTCACCATCGATCCTGTCGACCTTCAATTCCCTTGTAAGTCTTTATCCCTTTTTTATTTATTTCAATCATTCTCTTATGTTTTTTTTTTAGATCTAACTTTTAGCTCAATGATTCTGTGAATCTTTCGTATAGTTGAATTGAAGAAGCAGATCTCTTGTTCTCTCTATCTGGGTAACAAGACTGACAATTATGTCGCCTTCAAGGTGAATTACAATTTTTGAATTCTCTTTTCAATTTTTTTTAATCTTGGAGATGTATGTTTTTGTATGTATCTTAATGTTCTCAAGGGTCAATTTTTTTAAGGTTAAGACGACGAATCCAAAGAAGTATTGCGTTAGGCCTAATACTGGTGTTGTTCATCCCAGATCCTCTTCTGAAGTCTTAGGTTCGTCTCTCTCTCTCTCTCTCTCTCTCCCTCTCTATCCCTGTCTCTTTTTCATTTCTTTATTGATCTCACTTGAATAAATATTAGGAATTTACTAGTTTTTGGATCATGTTCACGGGTTTGATTGTTTTATCGGTTTTTGTCTTGTAATTAGTGACCATGCAAGCTCAAAAGGAAGCTCCAGCTGATATGCAGTGTAAAGACAAGTTCTTGCTTCAATGTGTTGTGGCTAGTCCCGGAACCACCCCCAAGGATGTTACTCATGAGATGGTATTTTACACTAAGTGAATCTGATTTGCAACATTTGAAACATTTTGGTTTCTTATCGCTGTGTGTATTGAACACTGCAGTTTAGCAAAGAGGCTGGACATCGAGTTGAGGAGACTAAACTGAAAGTTGTCTATGTTGCTCCACCCCGACCACCATCACCGGTTCGAGAAGGATCTGAAGAGGGCTCCTCACCGAGGGCTTCCGTCTCAGATAATGGGAATGCTTCTGATTTTACTGCTGTAAGTATACATCTCTGTTTAGTTAAGTATACCTTTTAACTAGAAGATATATGGTTGATTTTTCTTTTTTTTTAATTTGTACTTGTGTTGATTTGGTTGCGTTATCTTCTTTAATTTTAGGCTCCAAGATTTAGCGCGGACAGACTTGATGCTCAGGATAACTCATCTGAGGTAATTTGATAACCCCTCTGATACTTTCATGAAACCAAGCTACCTTGACAGCATGAGTTTACCTTTCAAACCTATGGGTTCTCTTTACTATCATCAGGTCGTTTAGAACAGTTAGTCTCTTTTTGTTTATGTTCAGATCATTCCAGTTAATATTATAAACTGCTTGACGTGAAACTCTCAAAACTGTAGGCCAATAATCATAATCTTTCTGTTAATAACTGAAAGTAATATGTACCTTGTTTGAAGCTTTCACCAATGTATAAGCAGAGTTGAGCACCTCAATACTTTGGTCTAGATGAATATGGTTTCCTCTGATGTAGTTTTAACTTTCTGGCTAATCAGTTTATGCATGCAATTAGATTAGTCTAAGCTGCAACAAACATACTAGCTATTAATTGGCTCAATTTACCATTGAAGTTCGTAGACCTGAGTGGTCATTCTATTTCATGTAATTTTGACGCCTATCAATTTTTATTGATATCAGGCAAGAGCTCTCGTCACAAGACTCACCGAGGAAAAGAACTCTGCGGTTCAACTGAACAAGAGGCTTCAACAAGAATTGGTAAGGAACTTTCACCCGATCCTTGTATCTATTGAAAATTATTCTTCAGGTGGATCCTTTTAAGGAATCAAAGAATATATTTGTCTGCGATGGCTAATTGATAATTAGCAACCATGACGAGCACTTTCATAACTAGATTCCCTGGTTTTAGAGAAGCAGCCATATTCTTGTTATCTATGTAGTTAGGTTTATACTCAATTAAGTTTAGATACCAGATGCTTTTTTCTTGTTCGCGAAACAAGAACCTCTCTGATAACAGGAAGATATAAAAATTGCAGGACCAGTTGCAGCGGGAAAGCAAGAGAAGTCAGAGTGGGGGAATCCCGTTAATGTACGTTCTTCTGGTCGGACTAATCGGTCTAATCTTGGGATACATTATGAAGAGGACATGATCTGATCCGCTTCAAGAAACATACAAGACTCTCAAAGTGCTTAAAAAGCATCGACATAGAAAAAAAAAAGAAAAATCAAATTGTGTGAGGAGGACATCTTCTCTTCTGTCTTATCGTCGTTCGTCACTTGAAATCTCAACTTAGAACATTAGATGATTTTATTTACGGTTTCCGTGAGACTTTAGAATTTTTACACATCATCCTTTTGCTCTCCTTTTTCTCTTCTTTGTAGACCCAAAGGCTTTTGTTTGTTTGTCTTCTCTCCAGTCTCCACTAACTCTTTTCTATATCTTTAGTCTCATCTTTGTTTTCCTTAAACAAATAAATAAAGAGATGTTGCCTACAGTATAATGATGACTAGTGGAGAATACCAAACCCAACCTGAAGTGTAGACACGAGACGGTAATACTACTCTCCCTAAGCTAAGCTACGATACAAAAGTCACCGAGAGATACCACACAGACACACCCACTTCATCCGACGCCACGATGATTCAGAGATTTTGATATTCAAGAATTTATATATTTCTCCTCTTTTCTTCTTATCGTTTGGGTCAAACTTGGAGTCATGGTGAAAGCAATGGCGTCTTTTGCTGAACCGGTTTTATCGACTTCTCTCAGTACATGCCCTTGCCGTATATACACTAGAAAACCCCTAATTGTTCCCCTTTTCTCGGAATATTCGAGTCTACGTCTTGTCAGTGATACAAAACCATTGTTCCGCTCAGGACTTGGTCGGGTTTCTGTTAAACGGTGTTTCCTCACATCAGTTGCTCGAGCTGAATCAGACCAGCTTGGTGATGATGACAACTCCAAGGTAATAACTTTATGCTCTGTTCTCCTCGAATCTGCAACTTTAACATTAACCTGGATAGATAGATAAAAAGACTCAGTTTTTAGCTTAATTGAGAAGTGACTTGATAGTGTTTAGGGATGAGAATCTGCTTAGTTGTTATCAGAATGTAGTAGGGAGTTGATCATTGTCAAGTGTTTAGGCCTCGCTGATTCCTCAATTGCTCATTCTCTTTTAGGGCATTGATAGAATCCATAGCTTGCAAAATGTGGAAGATAAGCAGAAGAACGCAAGCCAGCTTAAGAAAAGAGTAATCTTTGGTCTTGGCATTGGATTAGCAGTTGGATGTGTTGTGTTAGCTGGAGGATGGGTTTTCACAGTAGCCTTAGCAGCTTCTGTTTTCATCGGTTCCCGCGAATATTTTGAGCTAGTTAGAAGTAGAGGCATAGCCAAAGGAATGACACCTCCTCCACGATATGTATCTCGGGTTTGCTCAGTTATATGTGCACTTATGCCCATACTTACTCTGTGAGTCTAGCTAAAACGCTCTACTACATTGACATTTATCTTGTTATCCAAGTGATATGACTTATCCTTAACAGATTTTATGAAAATCTTTTTAGGTACTTTGGGAACATTGATATATGGGTGACATCGGCAGCATTTGTTGTTGCAATTGCATTGTTAGTACAGAGAGGATCCCCACGTTTTGCTCAGCTAAGTAGTACAATGTTTGGTCTATTTTACTGTGGTTATCTCCCATGTTTCTGGGTTAAGCTTCGCTGTGGTTTAGCTGCTCCTGCGCTCAACTCTGGCAAGCGTTCGCCTTTTCTCCTCCTTTGTTTATCAAATGTTCAGTTTTTGAGGCTTCTCCTACTTCTTATGTCCTAACCATTTTTCTTTCGTTTTATTCAATAGGTATCGGAAGGACATGGCCAATTCTTCTTGGTGGTCAAGCTCATTGGACAGTTGGACTTGTGGCAACATTGATTTCTTTTAGCGGTGTAATTGCATCAGACACATTTGCTTTTCTTGGTGGCAAGGTAACATCGATAATGATGCCTCACAGATAAGTTTTTTTCTAAAACTAGAACCACTTTGAGTTGGTTTAAACTATAAAAAAGTGCAGGCTTTTGGTAGGACACCTCTTACTAGTATCAGTCCCAAGAAGACATGGGAAGGGGCTTTTGTAGGACTTGTTGGTTGTATAGCTATTACCATTTTACTCTCTAAATATCTCAGTTGGCCTCAATCTCTCTTCAGGTACTCAGAGATTTTAATTTTGTTCTATCGAAACTTGGTTTCTTGTTATCTCTTCTGTTTTTGAATTGGTTCATTTGTTTTTGTTTTCCTCAGCTCAATAGCGTTTGGGTTCCTTAACTTCTTTGGATCAGTCTTTGGTGATCTTACTGAATCAATGATCAAGCGTGATGCGGGCGTCAAAGACTCTGGTTCACTCATCCCAGGACATGGTAAATTCACCCTTAATCGATACATGAATCGACGCCTTTCTTCTCACTCCCGCTACCTCTAATTTCCTTCCAAATGCTTGCAGGTGGAATATTAGATAGAGTTGATAGTTACATTTTCACCGGTGCATTAGCTTACTCATTCATCAAAACATCCTTAAGACTTTACGGAGTGTGATTGATCATAGCATCAGGAAACCTACAAGCATTTCCACTGTAAAATGCGACCAATGTAGCTGCAAAACAAATGGTGCAGTGTTCAGTGTTGTTTGCCTTGGAGAGATGATCCAGAGGACTTGTAGGAGGTGAAAGCAGAGCCTGGGGGTGTCTTTACGTCTGATAGCACCCGGTAGATTGCTGCTTGGTTCGATGGAATCATGGAACCGGTTTGCGTTTGCTTCATGTTTGATAGTTGACCAAAAGAGCCCGTTTAGGGGGTTTCATAATTTAGTAGTCATACAAAAGATTTAGATAAATCGTGTAAGCTTATTAAGGAAGTCTGTATTATTATGAAAGAAATGTATAAAGTTTGACTTTATTAAACTACCATAAACATGATTAATGCCGAATTGCAATTATTTTGATGGTGATGGACTGATAGGTCTACCATCACTCCATTGACGCTGATCAATCCAAACTTGCACACTATAACATTTTAGATATATTCCTACGATATAAGGATTTTGATTATTCTTTTGTTGGTTCTATGTTTCGTTTGTTTTTTTTGTCTTCTTTCGTATAAAATGGATAAAAACTAAAAAAAGGTCGTGAGAAAAAAGAAGACTAAAAATGATGTGGGGTTGATAGAGAATGCGTTGTTCCCAAGCAGACTTTTACAAAAATCAACTTACAAAAAAAAAAAGGCGATTTAATTGTTTTATTTAAAGAACCAGAAAAAAAAAAAGGAAGAAATGATTGGGGAAGACGAAAACATTAGTGGAGCAAAGCATCAGCCTAAGATTTTGTATCTATCAAAGTTTATTCCTTTCTTATGAATTGTCACCAAATGGTAAACTTTTAATCACACCCATTTGTAAAAACTCTATGAAGTTACGTTAAATTAATAATTAAAGTGTCTATATTTAGCGAATTTAGTTGGCGAGGCTGAGATTCGTATATGTATTTTAGATTTTTTGTTTCTATGAATTTAATAAAAATCTAAAAGAAATTAAAAAAAAAAGAAGAAGAAGAAAAAAACAATAATATTAGTAAGCACGTAGGTGTGCATGAACCGGTGTGTGTGTGTCTGTCTAACTTAATTAAATGATGAAGCTTACTTTGGCAGTCATGGAGACAAAAGTGTCTGTTGTCGGTTTGGCTCCATGTTTAATCTTACGTTATTATATTTCTAGTTTCAAATTCTCATATCTCTTCTTTGATGACGTCTACATATGTCTTTTATTTTATTTTATAAAGTTAATACTCAGTATAAGTTAAAGCTGATTGCTTTTTATATTGTCAAAAAGCTGATAATTTCGAAATTAGGCTAACCAAAACCAAAAAAACATTTCCTACAAAGTAACATGCAAACCTCGATCCGCTACTAGAGGAGGAGGTGTCACACAGCCAAAACCTTTATTTTATTTTATTTTTCTTATTCACTTTTTTCTAATTTTTATAATAGTAATATAAACATGACTTTGGAAAGGTTTTTCAAGATTTCAATTCTTTTGTTCGTAAAAAATTATTCCTCACCCGAAAGTAGAATAAAACCTGAACAAAATTTAACATTATTGTCTTCTTTTCTTATAAAATTAACCGCACCCAATATAAATCATTACCGAGTGGTCTAGTAATATATACTAGTTAGGTAAGATGCTAGTGGATTAGATATATAGATCTTAGTTAATAGAGACGATAATAATTGATATAAACAGATATGTAGGGTTAATAAAATACGTTTATAATAGAACCAATCTATAAAAATTACACGTTTTTTAGCTACTACGGGTTATGGTCATGATTTAAAAATTGTTTAGTTTTCAACACCGACGTCACAAAAACTATATTGATAATTAGTTAAACGAAGCGGTTGGTCACAAATCAAGACCGTCCAATTTAGTTAACATAAAGAAAGAAAGTTGTATAATCAAAAGAGAACTGAGATTATAATATCAAAAGCACCAATGACTTTGAAACCATGTGATTTCACGAACAAAAGTCGTATTACAATAATGCATAATGTAATATTTAAAGCTAGAAAGCTTAGGAATACATTTAAATAAAACATTGTACGCAAATTAAAGTCTTAACCTTTTCATGCCAGAAAAAAAAAAATTAAACTTTTTCATGGCAGGGAAAGCAAAGAAAGAAGAAAATAAAAAAAAATCTGTTAAGGACCCGAGATGATTAAACAAACATTCAACCTTGGAAGCTCCAAAAATAACCAAATGATAAATTCAATTAGCTTCCACTTTTTGGTTCTAAATTTTATTATATACAATTTCACTTTCATAGAAAATGTCCATGTTCCGTGGGTTAATCACTAATTCTATTACATTACAATATAATGACAAGTTGTTTATGTTTTCAAAATTGATACATATTATATGACCTTAACCTTAACAATAGAATAGAGAGTTTTCCACAAATCTAGTTTAGTCCTAAGTAGAAAGTTTATACGCATAATCAACTCGAATTATGTAGACTGTGAAGATCCTAAAAACAAATATAATCCACCTGATTTGAAATAAGCATGCCCTCTTTTTGCGATTTCTATTTTTGGATAAGAGATTGACGCATAAACTCGGAAAGCCTAAATAAAAATCTAACAAAAAGGAGAATTTGATTATATATCCTTACTTCCTTAAAATGTTAAAACACCACAGGTCGAAACTAAGAACACCATTGAACAACATAACAACATTTTTAAAAAATCTGAGAAAATTAAAAGAAGAAGAAGAACAGAGAAATTAGCTTTGAGAGAGATTTTGTGGCTTCCTTGTTCTAACATTTCCAAGCAGAGACAGTAACAAGTTCTTTCCTTTGCCAACACATGACAAGTGAGGACTGTCTTTTCTCAACGTGAAACCCTCTCACCGGATTCCTCTGCAACAAACACTCCGCCTGAGCCTCCGCCGTCTGACTCAAACTCGCCGGAGAAAACCCACATTGTGTAATCAAGCTTCGCCAGGGATGAGATCTTTCAATCCAGCGGTGACGTTTCATCAACAGCTTCTCAATCGAAGGTTGCACCCAAAACCTCTCTATACTCGAATCGTCTTGGTTCTGATTAGCGTCAAGAGACTCAAGCAGAGTGGTGTGGTACTGAAGCGCGTGGATCACTGCGTTTGGGAACGGCGCGTCGTTACGGTCACATCCTCTGTCGGAGCAAACGACGACGTTCGGTGAGATTTGTTTGAGGAAACGGAGGATCAACGGGAGGTAACCAGGGACGACGGAGTTTATTGGGAGATTCACTGCAATTGCTTCTTTCTCCGATGAACGGAGGGAGAGTGGCCAATACGCTGGGTTTAGAAGAAGCTCGATGCTTAGCAACTCGACTTCAAACGGAATCTTGACTTCTCCGGCGAAAGTTTTGAGATTTTCCTCTGTGAATCGGAGCTCGAACTCGTCGGAGACAGTAGAAGGAGGAGGAGCAAAGACTGTTAATTTCAGAGATGATGCTCTGTTTCTTCTTCTTCCACCTCCTCCAGAAGCGAGCTCTTGCATTAGAGACGACCACTGTCCTCCGTATCCAACATCGAAATCGATAATGTGGATCCGATCAAACCCTGAATCGTTACAGGACTCAAGAATCGATTGATTCGCTGTGAAGTTGACGAATTGGAGAAACGGCGAGGTTTCGGAGAAGGATCTGTAAGCGGCGATGCGGAGAATGAGATTCTCCGGCGTGATTAGCGGTGGTGGTGATGAGTCGTTGTGGATGAGAGAGAGGAGAGCTTCAGCGATGTGAGAAGCCGCTCTTTGAAACGGAGACTTGTGGTTACTGTTGAGATGGTGATTGAGCCGCGCCAATATCCCTTGCGCGAGAACGGTGTGGTCGCCGTTGGTGTTTCCGGTGGTTCCGATAAGCTCCGCCGCGTTGAACAGCTGCTCGATGATGACTGATTGGTCATCGCCGGCCATTCCCGGAGGCGGAACCGGAACCATAGCCACCGCCGAAGAAGAAGAAGACGGGATTTGTTGTTGCTGGCTGTGATGGAACTGAAACGGAAACTGAAACTGAAACTGATGCTGACGACCCGGATCCGGATCCGAGAAAGGAAAGACGGGTTGGTGATGAGATCCGGAATGAAACCGTTTCGCCGGTGGAGACAACGGAGGATTAGAGAACATACAGTGGCTTGTTGTAGGATTGACCAAAGCTTCCGCCGGATTCGTAATCTCTTGAAACGGGAAGCTACACAAAGGGTTGGAATTTTCAGTAACCGGAAGAGGCGCAGGCCCAGAAGCAGACCCGAATCCAAAACCCGGGTCGAAAACACCGAATCCAGAACCCGGGTCCATGATAAGTCTCAGAATACTCTGTTCTTGACCAGGGGAAGAAGCAGAGAGAACACCATCAAGGTCATCCAAACCCATCTGACTACATTTATTATCATCACAGGCGGTAACGGCGGTGGCGGTGACGGTGGTACCACCGCCGTGAGAGGAAGACAGCGTGGTGGTGGTAGAAGAATGAGAGGCGAGAGGACTAGGACTCCTTAAAGCGTCGAGAACAGACGTCGGCTCCGGTAAAAGACAACCGACAACATAACCAAGATCGTCTTCTTCTTTAGCTTCTGTGAATCCGGACTTGTCTTGATTGAACCAGGTCTTATGAGAATCTGGATAGAAAGACGAAGAAGAAGATAAACCAAACACCCCCTCCCCTTGAAATCTTTCAAAGGATAAGGGCATCGCCTCCTCTCAGCACACAGTAACCAAAACTAGAAAAAAAAGAAAAACAATCCTACAAGAAGAAGAAAAAAAGAACCCTAAAGAGCAGAAAGAGAGAGAGATCTCAGAACAGAAAGACAACAAAAGAAGAGAGAGAGAGAGGTGTTAAATGTACGGAAGAAAGAAACACATGCAAAGCTCAAAACTTGTAATTGGCGCCCCAGCTTTAATTTTCTTTTCTCTAAAATCACTTCTTCTTTTCTTTTCTTGCTCTTCTCTCTCTCTGATGCTGTAGCTGTTATATGGATGCGTGCAATATATAAAAAGTGGTCTTCATCAATGCTCTCTTTTTTTCTCTCCTCTTTTCTTATTACACACACTCTCTCTCTCTCTCTCTCTAAATCTTTTGGTTTTTGTAACAAGGAATTTTCATTTTTTATTTTTATTTTATAAACTTTGGTGAGTGTCTGTTATGTATGTTATATGCTTCTGCTGCTGCTCCTCCTCCTCTATGTGTGGCTTGTGTCTGTAGATGTACTTATCTACATAATGTACCGTGTTCTTGTGCCATCATTGTCGAGTAAGAGTCTCTCTTCTTCTTCCAAAATTAAAAATGAAAAATGAAAGCGCGTGACTCTACTCTCCCCCACCTCCCCCCCCCCCCCCTATTTCCAATTTTGTCTTACTCTCTTTGAAATTTTTGGCCGTAAGCTTTCATCAAAAGATTAAATCCATCTTGTGTTTTTTCTTTAATAGAATGTTACTTGTATAGTTCTTATCGTATCGTACTATTTAGTTTTCTTTTTTATAATAATCTAGTTGGTAGGACAAGTACTATAGTAGTTATTACAGAACTGGGGGGTTTATGTAAGTAGTAGGTACGTGCTAATTCTACCTACTTGTAAAATCTTAAAAAACAACCAAGTACTACTACTTTGGTTTATCATTTTTTGTTCTTTTCATTTATTTTAACAAATCGGCAAATTCCACCCCTCAAATTCAAATGTTTCCCATTTTTACGTACTTCGTTTTTCCTAATACTTTTTCAAAATAATAAAGAAAAATAATAAGTCATTGATCTGAAACAGTGTTTAAAAAAGAAGAAGAAAAAAAAAAAATCTTACAGATGCCGAGGAAACAGAGCAAAAAGACGAAACTGACGCAGATGGTTCATTACTACTATTTATCTATCGGAACTCCCAATTCTACCCTTAAGATTCGAGGGCAGCAGTGCAGAAGAGAGAGGGATGATATGGTCAATAGAGGGGAAACAGCAATGGCAGGTGGCTTTGGGCCTGGTTTTCGAAACTGAATCTGACGGACCGGTGCTCTATTTGAGTGTCTCCTCCTTCTCCTCTGTGTTGGCTTTTTGAAGATTTTTTGAAAACATCGAGACAGTATTATCCTTTCAACGGCTGAGATGTTGTCTCTGTCTCTCTCGCTTAAAGATCCCCATCTTGTTGTGTTGGAACTATTTCTTTTATAAAAATCTTTTTACTACAAAAAATCTAAAGAATATGGTGGTGTTGTTGTCCATTACTTTAACTCCTGATTTTAAAAAACTTCACTCTTTTTATCCTTTTTCTCGCAAAGAACTCAAAGTTGTTAATCATTATAATTTCATAACATGTGTTAGTTAAAATCACTAACTTATTTTATTCGATACTTGCATTCATTCGTTTCTCTTGACGGATGCATATTATGGAAAATAAAAGTTTATAATATAAGGCTTATACTATTACTTTATACGATAATTTGATAGTAGTAATATATTAATTTTGGTCAATGAAAATGACAGTGCTATTCTGTTCAAAATTTCTACTCTTACTTAATTGTGTTTTTCCTTAAACTAAAGTACAATTAAGTATTAAGTTGTTAATCGACTTTTTTTGTCCATTCTTAATACTAGTAAACTGTTTGCATTAGGTGTACGATATTAAAATACTAATTATACATTTAGTAAACAACTGTGTTGGAAACCAAACCATTTTTAAAAGAAAAAATTGTATATAAAACTGTGTTTTTTTCTTGCTGCCAACACAAATCAAATTAATCGCACGGTCCCAATATGTTGTTTCTCAATTTCTAAGAAAATTCGTGGTAATGAAACACCTCGATGACATAACATGGATCACGCTAACATATTGTTTATTCCGTATCTAACACTAAAACAACAACAAAGTATACTAATAGCATTACCAATGGATGATCAAGTGGCCATTGACATATGCATACAAATAAGTGCTTAAAAAACATTAAGTGGAGTAAATGAAAATCAAACAAGGAGAGATGTGCAGCTGTATTTCCAAGACAAGATTGAAAATTTTGGTTGCTTGTGTATCAATGTAAAGTAGACATGCTTATTATGTTATTATTATTATTATTGTGTATCAGTATTTGCCTTGAGTTATTAACCATGATAAATTTATGAACAATATCAGATTATTATAAAAATACTTCATTACGTTATTATTTTGAGCATTGTCATTATGAGAGACATGGTTTATTTCCCAAGACAAATCACAAACCTCCATGTGAGTTTCCACCACTACTAATCTAATTGTGTAACTCTCTGTCTTGAAAACAAAATGTGTAATATCGCATTAAATTAGTAATTTGTTTCGTTGCCTTTTTGTTATTTTTAGAATACAAATTACCAACTTGCTTATTCAATCTTAGAGATGATGACTAGCTAAAGAAGGGACACCACTAACGTGCCACTTGTGTCATATTAAATTCTATATTATATAATTTTATTTGTTTCTAATAATATCTATTTATATTAAGTTTTAATTTCTTATAAAATTCTCATAGAAGCAGGCTTAAGACCTTAATTTAGGACAATCATATATATATATAAATAAATATAGGATAGGTGTATCGATAAATAATGGAGCTCTAGTTGTAGAAATTTCGTAATGAAATTATGAAAACCTAAATTAAGATGAACATGGCATAAAAAGTTGTATCGATGTTGTTTTTGGAGTTTTATGATTACGGAAGAAAATAACAAATACAGACATTCAAATAATGCTGGTAAATGGTTATAATATATATGATCTTTTTTGTTGTTGTTAAGATAACGACCAACATTAACAACACAAGATAATCATCGATTAATACATTATTAAAAACTTAATTATTATTGCTAAAATCTAGGGATAGTTGGATTATAAAACTATACGATGCACAATTACATACATTCTCCATTAATCATTCGGTAATGATGAAGTGCTCCTATTATATACTCCCTCTCGTTATCTTATGTCCCTTAACATGTCTTTTTATAAATTTTTGTTAGTCGATGCGAAATCATTGGACTGATAACTTTTGGTTAATTCAATAACTCGATTAGGCCATATCTATTTTGTTAGACAACGAAGTTAACGTTCTATATATGTTATCGTACAAAACTACAAATGAGTGAATCTCCACGAATTGAAGCAAATTGCACAAAATTATTTTTATAAGTTTTTTTTTTAACTTTGAAAAAAAAAAGTTGACTTACATAATGATATATTGGCATGGGCCTATATTAGATTCTGTCTCACCGAAACTTCTATTCATCGTAAACCTACAGAAGGCCCATTTATCTACTTATATGGCCCATTAAAGCTTAGAAAAAGAAGGGGAGAAACTAGAAAGACAGACGTGCCATCAACTACTAAAAAAGGAAAAGTCTGAGAAAGAAACTAATAATCAATGACATTAAATAAGATTTTGGAAATAAAGCTCAAAAATTTGAGATAAGAAAAATTCTCATTGGGTTGTTTTTTAAATAAACAGGTTTTTTTTTTAATTTTAATGTTAGTACAATAATGGAATGATATTTGTTTGGAGAACAAGTTAAGTTGACGTGTCTAATTACTTAACAGTGTTATAACAAGTAAAGCTAACACGTCAACCTGCAAGATTATAAATAATATACAGGTGTGATCATTCATCGCAGTTAACGTTATCCAATCATAGACGAAAAAGCAAACAAAAGGTTTCTCTTTTTGACTTTGTATCTTCCATCTTCTTCAAGAGTTTGATCCTTATCCATTCCATCAACTACTCTCTCTCTCTCTCTAAGTTTAATTTTGATTTCTCTCTGTTACATATACTCTGTTTCGATTTCTAGACGCTGCTTTTGGATTTGGGTGCTAGGAAAAAATTAGGGTTTTGTGTCTTAATTTTCTCTGTTTGTATAGATTCTCAGAAGCAAACATGAATAAAGGCAGCAGCTTTAAGCTGGACAACGATTTCGGTTAGTCTTTTTCTTTACTGGTTCGAGATTTTGTGATCTTATCTTAGAAAGTGGAATTGGTGTTTACCTTTGTGTGTGTGTATGTGCAGAAAAGAGGAAGGCTGAAGCTGGAAGGATCAGGGAGAAATACCCTGACCGTATTCCGGTTAGTTCTTTTCTTTTGGTTTGATTTCATCAGATTTTGCTCTCTTCTTTTTAAGGTTTTCTTATGGTTATAGATATGTGTTTGCGTGTGTTTCATTGTATGCTTTATTCAATTTCATGAATAAGAATATGTGTGTTACTGATCAAAAGTTCCTTTTGGATTGCAATCATAATTAGCTTAGAACTGTTACAGAACATTGGCTATTTTGTTTGAGAATCCAATACTGTTTGTCTTTGTTTTTTTTTTTTTTGGGTTGATTTGATCAGTTATGTTCTGTTCTTGTGAGGTTTACCTATGCTTTTTGTACCGTGTGTATCCATGTATACTGAATTCAATAGCACAAACATGAACATGAATCGTTGTACTGAATTCAATAGCACAAACATGAACATGAATCGTTGTGGTGAAGTTCTTAGTTTAGCTTGTATTAATGATCTCATGGGAACAATGTTCGGATGTATGTTGCTGACTGATTCATAATTAGCTTATAAATGTTACAGAACATCAACTTGTTTGTTTAAGAATTCAATATTGTTTGATTTATTTTTCTTCAAGTTTCTGATCACTATCTTACTGGTCGCAGGTGATCGTGGAAAAGGCTGAAAAAAGTGAAGTCCCAAACATAGACAAGAAAAAGTAAGACCTTTTGATATTTTTAACTTTGTTATGTTCAATGTTGAGGACTTGTTATAGAGATATTGAATTGGTTTTTGGATTTTGATAAATGTAGGTACCTTGTGCCATCAGACCTAACAGTTGGTCAGTTTGTGTATGTGATTCGGAAGAGAATCAAACTAAGCGCAGAGAAAGCTATCTTCATATTCGTAGACAATGTTCTTCCTCCTACAGGAGAGCTAATGTCAAGCGTCTACGAGGATAAGAAGGACGAAGATGGATTCCTTTACATCACTTACAGTGGCGAGAACACATTTGGTGCTTCTTCAATCTAATCCCTTGACCAGTTGACCTGAGAAACGGCCACGTTCTATTGTTTCCCATCTTTCAATTTGTATGTATAGTTTGCCTCAATCTTATCATTTCTCAAATAATTGTGATTACAATCTTCTTTCACTTCTTGAAATGTACATAGACTACTAATCTTTAAATATTCTCTTCTTTGGTATTATCATCTTAAAACTCTTCATGAGACTGTTATGGTGTGGTTTGATAAAAGCTGCATGAATCTTTTTCTGAATACCAAACAGACCTCTCTAGAAACTAGAATGTATCTACAAGTTGGGACAAACTAGATCAAATCAATCCAACCCAAATGTTGGAAAAGAGTAATGATGAGATATGGACTATTTGTATTTGTTTTTGGATTATCTTGTCTAGTTGGGTTTGGAAATAATCGATTGAAGCTGATCTTTAATTCATACAAAAAAAAAAAATCTTAAGGAATGGAGACGGATGCAATGCAAAAAATCATATCTTATCAACAACGTATAATGTATCTCCATCTACACCGAAACTGATACATACCCACCCGGAGATTACACTCTGGCTCAGCAAAGTTTGTGGAGCCTTTACATTCACAAACAAACAAGACAAAAATCTTGTCTTTTCCCTTTTTGTGATGGAAAAAAAAAAAATACAATTCCTAAAATTAGTCCAATCAATTTGATGGCCTCAAGTTGCAAAAGCCATCTAGCTGGATAGTTTTGTTTCCTACTCAAATTTTCTTCAGTCACTCACATGCATCTCTCTGTATATGTAATAACGTGTTCTATATAATCCATGTCCTGTCTCTCGCTAACATTCATCCCAAAACATTACTAAAAAGTATCTATGGCTTCTAAGGCTCTTGCAGTTACAGCTCTTCTTATCACACTCAATCTTCTTTTCTTCACTTTTGTTACATCCACAAAATGTCCACCAACTACTCCTAAACCCCCAAAAACCCCAAAGTCTCCAAAGAAGGAACCTGCGGTGAAACCCACTTGTCCTACCGACACGCTTAAGCTCGGTGTTTGCGCAGACTTATTGGGTTTAGTTAACGTTCTGATTGGTTCTCCACCTAAGACTCCTTGTTGTTCACTTCTTCAAGGTCTTGCTAATCTTGAAGCTGCGGTTTGTCTCTGCACCGCTCTTAAAGCCAATGTCTTGGGGATTAATCTCAATGTTCCTGTTGATTTGAGCTTGCTGTTGAACTATTGTGGCAAGAAACTTCCCTATGGTTTCCAATGTGCTTGAAGATTTGAGATTTAAAAGAGAAATCTCTTTGGTTTGTTATGTTTTACTTTGTTTGTTTCCTACTGTTATCTATTGTTATTGTGAGAAAGATGCAAATTAATAGCCAACCTTTTGTTCTTTGATGTAATCTTTGAACTTGTTAATGAAATCTTTTGATGCATTTTCTTAATAGTTCTCTTAGATTTTGACTTGAGAGCTCTCGTCCATAAGTTATATTCAGTTATAGTAATTACTGATTAGTGACACACCCTCAGACGCTCTAGTGCTTGCGTACTATTCGCCCTCTTGTTTAAATGCCTCTATATGATTTAGAGGGTCTCTTCGTGGACTCTCCCATTAGTTAATTGTTATCCAATCCAACATAGGCTCATATGGCCCTTTAAGGCCAGATCGACATGGACCACACTAGAAAGCGATAGGATAAAACCGTCATAATGTACAATACTAACGAATTGGGAATTTAGAAGTAACCAAAACGTTGCGTTTCTCTTGGATTCTTCTTTTTGGAACTTAGAAATTAGTGAAAACCAAACCAAATTCCTAAGGAAATCTTTTATGGGCCGGATTCTGAACAGGCCTAATAACATTCAGTTGGCCCATTTATTATTGTTTGTTATTTATCTTTTTTTTTTTTTTTTTTTTTTTTTGCATAAACCACAGTAATTATGCGAGATTAATTTTAACTCGATTACGTTTAGATTAGCTTATTGCGATCACTGATTTTGATCTTGAAATGTTTCTCGCAAGAGTACCTTTATTCCACAACGTCTAATACATATTTGACCGTTCTTATTTGATGTACTGTTTATTAAAAATCAATATAGAACCATTGGACCAACAAAACTAGACCATAAAATTTGGCAACAATAGATCTCAAGAATCAGATTTTGGAGGGAGAAACTTGGACAGTGGTAGCAGGCTTCCGGAAGCAAATGTTTCGTCTATATTGCCTTTCGGGAAGATAGTTTAAGTTTGCTTGCACAAAAAAAGAAAATAGTTAAGTTTACCTTTTTTTCTCTTGTTTTTCCTTCGATTACTATTGGATTTGGCTACTCTCAGTTTATATAATGACTCTTTATTTTTAATGTTCGTATTTCGTAATATTAGTTCTGAGATGAAAAAAAAAAAGCTCTATTAGATAAAGTGACAGTTATAATATATCCTTTGAGATTTCTTTAAATATGGCGATCGATGGTGTAAAAAATTAAGATGACATTTTGGGGAAAGAGCCATAATTTTAAAATTCGGCTCTGAGTTAAACTATAAAACATTATGGTCAAATAATTAAACAACTACAGATGAAATCGACCATAAGAAACCCCATTAATTAGCAAGATTTTTGATTACAACAAACAAGAAAAAGAAAACACATGATGCATACTTTATATAAGTTCAAGAAAGAAAAAGAAACCCAACTTTTGGACATGATGATCATAATAAACCTTACGAAACTGGATTTCAGTTCCTCAAACACTTGTCGATCGGACTATATTTATCTCGTTTTTTTTAGTAAGGAGTCACACCAACGTTAGCCGCAGGAGCGTAGAACCCATCTTTCATCACCATGTTATCCTCTCCCTCCTATATGATCAAACTCAATATTCAAGAAACATATAAAAAAAGATGCAGTAAGCAGTAAGAGGCATGTCGACAGATTAGGGTTTACCTGTTGGGGCATGTTGGTCTTCTTCACGGGTTGATTGTCTGGCACGAGCCCGAAGTGTATGTGGGGGAAGTGGGCCCACTGCATTACACATAAACAACATACGTACAAGACACATCTCAACTTGTGTTATAACCCGACAAAAACTCTTTACTCCTAATCTCAGCTATACCCACATATGTGACTTTATTATCCCTATATATACAAACAAGGAGTTATATATTTCATATATACGCATGCATATATGCAACCAAACCCTAGTTTTCCCCTGCAATCTAACCAAGTTGTGATGTTATAGTTGTACATGTATCAATCGTTTTAATTTCTCTAGCTACTAAAGGGAAACATAAAAAGCCCTAGCAAATGGAACTTTTTTAACTAGATGATATGTATGTGTATATGTCAAGAGGTTTCAAGGAGTCTTTTGGTTGGCAAAATTTATTTATTTAATTGGACCAATATATATTATTGGGATGTTAAAAAATTGAAGGTTCAATTCTTACATTCTTGGCAGCAGCGCTAAAGGCTTCTCTGTGGCTTATATCAGGATTACCAGCTTTGATGCGTTGGATCTCCTCCCTAAAAACAAAGACGTGACAAGGCATTTATAAATGTTAGGACAATTACGATTAGAAGAATATGAATGAATGTTATAAGACTCACTTGATGAATCGGTTATATGCGGATGGGACTCTCTGTCTTTTCTCCGGAGCTGGCAATGGCGAAATTCAACGGCAAAGACAAAGCGAAAAAACAAAAACTCAGACAGAAAGAGACAAACACTCATTAAAAACTACTTACATTGTCTTTTTTCTCTCTCTCACGAACACTACTTTCTCTCTCTAACCCATCATCACTTCATCATGTTTTTTTTTTTAAAGACAAAGCCCATCTTCTAACATATTACTTAGATTCTTTCTCTTTAGCTAGATTTCCGGGGGATCCATGAATCTATCTCCCTTTTTCTTTTTATCGTCACTTTAATATGTTTACAGACGCTAAAAGCCATCCAGGATATATGTAGGCAATTATCAGCACATACTAAAGGCCATAGGTCGTTGATGTCAGTTTTTTTATAAATTTAACAAAAGTGATCTCTTATGCATAATTTAATGGTGCTAGGGTTTGAACAAGATCCAGTGTCGGTTAAATAAAAAAAGCTATGCATGTCATATTTATGGTGTTTCATCACCACGCCCAAATTATATATAAATACAGTTAGTTACCAAAGAAGTTGAAAAATCCTAAAAAGTGAGAAGATAAGTTATCTTACGGCGGTTAACGGGTGGTGCTTTAGGAATCTCATGTTGTTGATGAAGATCCATGAAAGATGGCATGTCGTTCATGTTAGGATGTTGATTCATCATCATCATATTCATGTTAGACGGTGCATCTCTTAGCTCCTCCTACAATAACATATATATAGGCTTTTGAGACACGCATACTTCCAATAAGATAGATGACTAGACCTTATAAGATTATGTATTTAAATGTTGTTATGTACCAGCATATTCTGGGAATTGAAGTTAGAGTGAGGACCGAGCTGGAGTTGGAGCTGGTTAGAAGCTGGGAGGACAAGTCTCATGTTCACCGAGAGGAGGGTGGTACAGCAACCACATCGAACAGTTACGGTTTTGAACAAGCTTGTGTAAGGAACACTAACCTATAAACACACACAAGAAACAGTGGAATATTAGAAACCCCCCTAATTTTATATAGATGAGGAAGATGAGAAGATGGAGGAGAGGAAATGAGAGAGAGATTGTCGAAGGGAGGTTAGTGTTTACCGCAAGAATGGTGTCACAAAAGTTGCATTGGACATAGCAGAGATGGTCGGAAGGAGAGAGGTGGTCCGGTGAAAAAACAGCTGAGGAAGGGGAAGACATAGACATCTTTTTTTGTAAGAAGAGTAAAAAAAAATTGGAAGCTGATCTTTTTTTGGGAGTGTTTGGGGATTTGATTGATTGATGGGTATTTGACTGATCAGAGGATTCTTGATAAGGAGGAAATAAAAAACCCCACCATGATCTGATCTTCTTGATTGTTGGGTTGCTGTGTATTATATACCACAAAGGAAGATATAGAGAGAGCCAAGAGGTGAAAGGAGAGAGAAGGGGAATAGGCAGATATTAAAATATTAGAGAGTAAAAAACAACAAAGGCAATTTTCATAAAGAAATTATAAAAAAAAAAACCCAGCAAATTAAGGCTCTAATTCTAGCCTCTAGGTCGTCTTCAAATAATGCTTTTGGTTAAATTAAATATTCCAATTACTTTAATTATAAGAGCTGAGCAATCGTGAGTGTGCATATATAATCGCGTATTAAATTCTATTTACCTATACAAAGTATTCTATCAAGAAATTCCCCTTTGGGTTATATAAGTAAGTATACATATTTTAGGTTCTGAATAAGTAATAGCGGAATGATCGCTAGTGAACGAGCAAATATATGGAACTATCGATAATATACAAATCGAAGAAAATGCAAATTGTATTTGTAAATGTGAGTGTGACAAATATTTCTGTTAATTAAAGTGGCCGATTAAGCCATACATTTAATTAAATTTGATAAGACAAACTGAACTTAGATCATTACAACATAATCTTAATCAATCGAAAGATGCGAGCAACTATTAAAATAATATGTTGTCAACATCCTATATATATTGGATTTTGTTAATGATAATGCCTATATTAGAAACTCGGTTGACCATGCGGTCTCCCCCTTACTAGAAAACGTAGACATTAATCATATACCATTCCGTTGTACCTCTATTAGATGACCTTGTGGTCACAAGGAGACAAGACTAATGACAAAACAGTTTTAAGGATATTATCGCTTAATGACGGACTCTTTCCCATCTGATACAATTCTATATTTGCAATGAATTCAATTTTGGTCTATATATACAATTAAAATAATATGCCAATATGTGTATAATAATAACGTAGTTTATAACATACTAGAATATACCAATTCATGTTTCTTCAACATACTAGAACCAACATATATTTTAACTTAAATTTTAAATCTATAGCTTCCATATATACTATATATGAAAAGATTAAACTTACGACAAAAGTATGAGATTCGATCAGTAAACTACAAACCAGAAGTTGATCAATTCAGAATTTGAAACATATATTAGGAGTAAGGTGGGTGTAGTAGTATGAACAAGGGACGATTGAGGCAATGTTAAGAAGATTCGCGAGCTTAAGGCTTTGGGGTTGGCGTTGCACGTGATGACACATGTAATGTACGTTTGTAAGTAAGTTTAAAAACGACGAAAGGCTTATAAAAATTGTATTGAAGAGAAGAGAAAAGTTATAATGGTTTGACAATATAGAATTCACAGTTCCCAATGGAGGAAGAGAGAGAGGGAGAGGGGGCGGCAGAGGTGGGGGGAAGAAAGGGACGTGTGCATGGGAGTGATTAAGCGTCGCCTCATTCACCCGTTGTTGTCATTCCTTAATTACCACTGCCATTACTTTTTTTTTTTTCTTTTCTTTTTTTTTTTCTCGTTTCTCTATACAATTCCTTTTCTAATATCTTTCTAAAAAATTTAGTTTCAGTTTTGTGTCTTATCAAACACACTAAGAAACATACTCTTGTTTGTATGTATCTCATGTATGTATGTATGTATGTATGTATGTATGTATAGGTAGAGATAAACATGATTCTCCATTTTTATTGATTGGTTATCATTAGCTTTTTAGTCAATTATATGACGATTGTTTCTCCTCCTCATTTGAATGTTTGGAATCATCCAAGTTTGGACTTTCCGTGAAAGCGAAAGTAAATTAATTCCGTTTCTGTAGTTAACACTTTCTACTAAACCGGTTGGTCAATCAAGATTTTTTTAATATATATAGATATATATTGTGTCTATAACCCAATTAAGCACTCGCAGAACATCAAATAGTTAAGAAACTAATATAGATTTTTCTGTGAAATTAACCAAGAATTAAAAAAGGAAACAAAAAATATATTAATGTATAGTTTCTCAATGATAGTTATAAAAGCGCCATGTATATGTACGTATATATAGAAACACCAAATTGGTGAAAGCCACGAACAAAACTCCACACGTAATTAATTTCAAACCTACATATGTTTTTAGAAAATATTCCATTCTCATTTCAAAGCATACTTGTCTGAGAAAATATCTACGAATCATCTACTTGTGAAATGATGCTATGTAATATGTATCTATATATGTTTGTCGTCCAACCATATATAATGCCTTGTATGTCAATGAAAACAATATTACTTACTAGGAATCCAATGGAGATGAGTGGTAACCGCAAAGCAGATTAATTATTATATAAATTCGGCATAACTTAAATATCACATATGAATAATCAAAGCCCTGAAAGGCTGAAATATAGGGTAAGGTTGACCATAGACGCAATTATAAAGGGGGAAGTTTTGAGTATTAAGAGGCGTGCATAATTTTGGTTGTAATGAAGGAAAAGTTGAAAATGTTGGTAAATGCTTTACTAGAAAGTAGAAACGTATATAATGTTAGGGTTAGCCCACACTTTTGTCGCAATTTGGGCGATGGGTGTTCAGAGATCGTACACACATGTAGCTGTGCATAGATGTATTGGGATTTATATATATATATGCATGCATGTGTGTACTGAGATCATAGGTGATATGGACATTTCCCTATTCTCTTTTATCTTCTGATTGGTTTAGAAAAGCTTTTGCCATAAACCCCGAATCTATTTGTACATCTAATGAAAAAGTACTTACAACTTAATTGAAGCAATAATTCATACTCATATATATGCATGATTATGAAAATAATTCTTTTGAGTTTTTTTTTTTTACTTTTCGAAAAAGTAACTAACTTGGCAATGATGTTATATATGATCAGTTGATTTATATCCACTGATTAAAATGAACTTAATTCTTCAAATGGTGTGTACATAATAGATTGTCTGGGGACTTTCTCCTTTCTAGAATAAAAGTTTATTATCTTTTACTTAATATATTTAATTTTTGTTTTTTCACAAACATCCAAATTGTAAAGGTATAAACTGAACCCCACATGTTTGAGGGTAAAATATTGGTGTCAATGTAAGTCAACCATCACTTGTCTTTAGAGATCAATAGAGACTAATCAAGTTATACACTATAAAAAAATAGACAGAGCCCATCACTACATAAGAATTAGCAAATTTAATATCTCATGTCACAATCCCACTTACACCGATTGTAAATAGCTAGTATTAAAACTTTTTTTAAAAAACAATTCAATAGATAGGTTTTAATGAATGTATTATTTTAATTTTTCTTTTAAACATACATGACCTAGCTAGTATATACTATATAGATAATACCATGCATATGTTAACATTTTTCAACGGTAACTCTTATTGTGTAACACTAATTAGATCTGTTTCACTCAACTCAATTTAGCTACTAACGACTTTGAGAAAGACTACTTTGTACGATCAGTTAAATATACAGTATTTTATGAACCATTCTAGTTACGGATTAAAAATATGTACGTATCTATGATCGGAAGCTCGATTGTTTCAAAATAAAAAATGTGGCTATGCATGCTACTTGTGTTGCCAGGGATGAGTTAGAAATGGGCTGTTGCGCAGAAGAAAGAATAATGGCTTTTCAAAGATATCATATTTGAACTGGATATTTTATATTCCTATATAATTACACACATTCCTATATACATACATACATAAATGTGTGTGAATAAAGCATTTACTTATTCTGTGCTTCAAAAAGGTATCAGATATGAAGACTATAGGGTTTCTCCAGTTCTATTTTTTCTATCTTCTTTCCATACAAAACTACGATTCTGAAAATCTCATAAAAACTATTAAAAGCAAATGGGGTAGTTTTGTAAGATTCCGATTTCTACATAATTCTTGTATAATTGGCCTCAGTAAATTATGGAGTAACAAATTCTCGGATATCAAGGAAAGCGACAGTGTGGGTAAAACAAAAATTACGACTGGACTCAACCTCTTAAAAAGTGAGTAAAAAAGAGAAAGATGTTCACATGTATTGTTGTTTTGATAACAATATGGATTATTTGAAGATAAATTTGGAATGTCTACACTTTGACAATGCTAGCAAAATACTATATGTTTTGGTCATATGTAGATATTTCATGTATCCATATCTTCATGTAAATGTTTTGATATCAAAGCCATATAAAGTGATCAATTACGAAAAAAACAGTCGATTGAACTTGAAATCGTGCAACTACATGAAAACTACTAGTATACAAAGTGATCAATTTTTATATGAACATTAAGATGAAGAAAAGGTTTTTGTTTGGGGTGTAAATTCAGTTCTTTTTAGAAAAAGTTTAAATGAAAAAGGAAATAAAATTTGTGCCCCTTTAGTACCTAGCCTATGTGTGTAGATGTGAATGTATTTCTGTAAAATATATCAAGGATGTATGGATGCGTATTTAAAATGGGCTACAGTGATTTTTACTGCAACGAGTAGAAAAGTAAAATTAAAGAAAGAGTACGGAGTGGAGAGCTAGAGAGAGAGCTAGGTAGGTCATAGGGGCAATAGGGTAGAGTCATGTAGGCTAATAGGTTAAGCATGTTTATGGACCGTCCAGGCTCCTCGGCTCCGACCCTATGGTCCGTCTCCTTGTCGTTATGTCGCAGGCTTCTCTCTGCCACGTGCATTATTTTCTCTCCTCACATTTCCTTGTTAGGGCACAGCAACATGCCAAATTGAACATATTAAAGCCCCTCTCTCTCTCTCTCTCCTTCCTTCTATTATAAACTATGTCTCGATTAGATAGATAAATACTATATAGTAGTTATGTTATTAAAAATCTTTTGATGCTTTTACTCCTACATTTTCAGCGAAGGCGATGTTGCAAAAATATTTTCATCTCAAATCAATGAACATTGATCGAAGTACTTCATTTCCTATTTGTTTTTGTTTAAAATGATCATTCAAGGAATGGACTTCGTCAATCAATCATGATAATATCATTTAGTTCATTTATGTATCTTTCAAATTTTAGTT